GAGAAAGTGAGGGGCCGACGTTGAACGTACATACGGAGAAAAACTCGCGCGTCTGCGTCACAGGAATTGAACGAGTGGATTTTTGGTATCTTTGATCTGGAGGAGAACTGTACAACTTTTAATTATTAGCACAGAAGAGGGAAACAATGGCCTATAAATACAGAGGAGAGTCGTTCTTTCTTTCTTTCTTTCTTTCTTTCTTTCTTTCCTTTTTCTCTTCTTCTTTTTTTTTTTTTTTATTAGGCGAAACCAACGGACCGTATAGACGGTAAGAAATCCAGCCGGTTGACGACGAGAATTCAAATTCGCGAATACGAGGAGAGAGAGAGAGAGAGAGAGAAAGACAGAGCACGCACGATCTTTCTTTTTTTCCTTTCGAAATGTAAGAACTCGCACCTGCACTCGATCTTCTCTGCGCGTCTATGATGTTTCGCGCGGCGACGACACCAACAACTGTATTATTCGATTGTATAATAGACGACCCTAGCCACGTAAGAAAAAAAAAAAAAAAGGAAAAGAAAGAAGGAGATATTAAAATTCGATCGACGACGCTCTTGCCCGAGGCGATACAGCCAAGACTTATTTCCAATCGATATCGAAAACCTAAGCCTAATCAAGCCGCGTTGCGACACCGAATCAAATTACCTTTTAGCGCGACCAGTCATTCTCGTTAATTAATAATTAATTCAAACAGTGATTGTTACGTTTGTAAGGATTAAGAAAATAGGATTTGTAATAGAGAGCGATAGTTTAATTGAAAACGAAGAATAATAAGAATAATAGTCCCCTGGCTTGCGAATACAACGCGACGAAATGAATTGATTGTATCGCCTTGTGCACGCCTGTGTATCATAATGAAACGCACGAATTACCATGTGTCATATAAATAAATAAATATATATATATATATATAAATATAAAAAGTATATATATATAAATACAAAAAATATATATATATATAAATAACTAATAATAATAATAATGATAATAATTAAGTACCTTACACGTATAAGCAGTATCCAAGAAAGAAAAATGAAAAATAAAAAATCCGAACTAGTTGCACCAAGTGCCATAGTCCATAGGTCACAAGTACGTTTAAACATAGCGAGAGAGAGACTACTCGTAGGCCGTATTGCTAGGGGGCGAGAGAGGTAAGGGGAGAGAGTGTAATAAAAAGAGGCGGAGGGAAAAAAAAAAAGAAACGAGAAAACCGGAAAAACACATATACACACACACACACACATACATATACACACACATTTAGAGTGAGTAAAGAGAGGAGGAAAAACAAGAAAAAGAGGAGAAAATAGGAGGAAGGGAAAAAAAAGTAAAAGGAGAAGAAAAAAAGAAAAAAAAAACAGTGGGAAAGCAGGTCGAACACGTGGCGTTCGATGACTGGCTAAGTCTTGTTCTTATTGCTTATTGTTAAGGCGAACGAGCTGCAGCCAGCAATCAGCTAAAAACATGCGGGGGAGAGAGAGAGAGAGAGAGAGAGCAAAAAAGTAAAAAAAAAAAAGACGTGAAGATAAAAAGAAAGAGAGAATGTGAGAGTGTGTGTGTGAGAGAGAGAGAGAAAGAGAGTTATGTAGTCCGTGTGACCCGAGATTTTCGATGGGCCGGTTTCGCCCATCTTTTTGGAGATCGTTTTAGAGCATAAAGCAGACACCAACATGACAATATACTAATGAAATTAATTTCCGATCCTGTTGCTCGGTTACTGTTGTCCATTGCCTTCACCTCCTGCTCCTCCCTCCCACCCCCCACCCCATCCCATCTCCTCCACTCCTTGATGGAAACTCGAGAGAACGAAGAAAAGAGAAAGAGAGAATATCGGACATCCATTTACTGTACAATTTCGCTATTTATTTTTCGACATGTTAGTACATGCGATTAGAGACGTGAATCCCGACTCGCAAAAAACCCCGACGTGCATTCCCCGAAAGGAAAGAGTTGAAGGATGCGAGATTGAGAGTGAGAGTGTGTGTGTGAGAGAGAGAGAGAGTCGAACGAGCGTAAGTGAGGGAGAGAAAGGGCAAAGAAGAAAACGCAAAAACTGTAAAACATATTATGGCCATGAATGAATCTCGTGAGGCGAGACGCGTGTGACCGTTTCTTTTCTATTTCCTTTTTTTTTCTTTCTTTCTTTCTTTCTTTCTTTCTTTCTTTCTTTTTCTGCGAGAACATTATCGATTATCTTAAAGAAAAAAAAAATGACAAAAAAATACTGTAGTAACGTCGCAATTGTATGTTGTAAACATTACTATTTCAAATATAATGTCATTATTAACAGGAGAGAGTTTCTCACTTCCGAGACAACCCCCCTTACCCGAAAGGGTGGCCAACCTTTTCTCCACCTTCAGTTAAGTTTCAGAATAATTACAGGGGACTTCTCGGATCGAGAGCGTGAGACGAAGAACATCGCGGACGTTCAACGAAGAAGATAAAATTCCGCTTTGTTCTAAAAAAAAAAAAAAAAAAAATTCACATCAACAATGCCACGCTCGACTTAAATTTATCAATCCTGCACACCTCCTGTGCATTTTATCTACAAATCTCTCTTTAATTCATTGAAAAGTGAAAAAGTACGCGTCGATCGATGAGAACCCATTGTCCCCCTAATAATCGTACAATCTACCGTCTGTTCGTGCAGTGATCCAGTAAAATCGAAGAGAAAATCCCCGATTCGCCGAAGATCGAGAAAAAGTGAAACGAATTCTCGACCACGTGACGGTTTCGAGAAAAACGATTGCCCGAATCCGGCACGAATATTTTCGTCGCGCGCTCCCCAACACGGGTTTGAAAGGAGTAGGGGGAGGAGGGAGGGAGGGAGGGGGGAGGGTTGGCGACTCATCGTGAAGGTTCGTTGTTATTCGCGGGCCGTCGTGTGTGCGTTGCGCGGAACACAGGGAGCCACACACAGGGCAGGTATATATATCGTGCAGGAATCGAGAGCGTCGAAACACGAAGCGAGATCAGAGACTGACTTTACGAAAATCGATCGGCGCTCATCGTCGTCGGGTTAGCGACGCCTGCAAAGAGCGTGTCCATTGCAACGACGCGGTTACGAGGAAGCACCGCTGGCCGGCTCCCTCTATCTATCTCTCTCTCTTTCTTTCTCTCTCTATCTATCTGTCTGTCTTTCTCCCTCGCTGTCTCTGTCTCTCTCCTCCCCTCCCCCCACCCTCCCCCGTCTTGTTCTCTGTCTTATTCCCTCTTTCCTCGTCGGAGAACAACCCTCCAAATGTCGAGAAAGCTTTCGCGTTCCCCGAAACGGACGGAACGTCCCTTCAAGTCGGTTCGCGAAACAGTGTGAGAGAATGTGAAAATCCGCGGCGAGCGTCCGGTGTGTCTGACGTTTTTTCGTTCCTTTCTCGTGACAATCCGGGGCACACGGATGTCGTCGGAGCTCCAGCAAGACACTACGAGCGACGGAAGAAGGAAGAGCGTGTACGTGTTCCTTCAGGGAATTGCGGTGTAAATGCGAGCACGTCCTGCTTCCATCCTAGTGCAGAAGTTACTCGACGAAATTCCTGTCGCTCTGGTTCACCCTGCGATAGAGTCAGTGATCTCCGCGCGGAGCGTGTGTGCTAGGGGGCCATAAGAATAAAAAGTGTCCTCCTCCCGAGTCGTTATCGCCATTGTCGCGAGCGTGTCTCTCTCGTGTTGGTTGTCTCTCTCTCGGCAAGTACCGGTGCTCCCACGGAACCCTCCACCGAACGTACGACAATAATTTTCGCGATAACGTGTCGCTCCTACGTACGACCTACTAAACTTGAACCACGATTCGTCGAGAAACCGTCGTCTCGGGGTTTCCCAAACCTCCTGAAGAATCGATGCAAGCGAACAAATACGGAACGAGCTGATTCTCGAAACGAAGACCGAAGAGGAGTTTCTCCTAATAGAGAGAAACGCGCGAGAGAGAGAGAGAGAGAGAGAGAGAGAGAATGCGAACGAGACGAACGTGAGGGAAAAGATTGGTTTGTTCAACGCGACACCACGGTGTCGCCGAATCTGCGAACGATCTCTGGTTTCTCGATGCACGCTTTAAACAGAGAAGAACGAACAAGGGGAATTCGAGCGAGAGGTTCGTACGGCGGCAGAGTTAATCGGTGAGCGTGTCCTGCGCCCTGATCCTTTGTCATTGCTCTGGACAGCAAGGGAGAGAGAGGTAGTGAGTGAGAGAGGGCAAGAGGAAAAGAGAGTCGAGACATCGTACGTTCGTCGAAGGCATCATACATATATATATATATACACATATATATACACGCACATACACGCATACACACACGAAAACGGCAGAGGTGGGAGGAGGCCGTCTACCTCTCGACGTGGAATGATAATAAAGGAGAACCACGGGACGACAGATCGGCACGGGGCGACATTATGCAAAAACCGGATCTGAATGTACCAAACTCACCCCTTAAACCGTTCCCTATTGGGATGGCGATAGGGGCGCTCGCTGATATCGCGATCAAGCTCATCATCAGCGGCTACATACTCGCCGTGGTCGTGTACGTAAACGCCACCGGGAACTGGGATAAGGACGATGATTTAGGTACGTCGTTAACCTGTACGGTTATATCGGCATTTGTATCGTCGAGTATAGTAAACATTTATTAGTCTTTACGTGCATTTTTTTTCGAGTGAATGAAGGAAAAATTACGCGTCTGACTACTTAAGTCGATCTACCGCTACGCGAAAAGGTTGGCACGCCGGTAGAGGAGAGACGCTAGTAGATCCTGTATCCATTGGTCAGCCACATGTCTGACATACTTATTTACTTGTACTACTTGCAACTTCGCACTCTAATTTCTCGCGAAGGGCAATTAACCAAATTGCCAATTGAAAGATTTACTCACCAACTTGCTCGACATATTTATTTACTCGTACTGCTTGCAGTTTTGTAACTTATTTCTCGCGCAGGACAATCAAAGGTTTACTTACCAACATGTCTGATATATTTATTTATCTGTGCTACTTGCAATTTTGTAATCTGAATTGATTAATTGCCGAAAGGTTCATTCCGCACGTTAGTAACTAACGTAAGTGCAACTGATCGCTCTTTGCATTGTTTTCAGTCGCAACTTTCGAAGTTAGCGCTGTACTCGGACGCACCGCTAGACTGCCTTGTGACATTGAACCGTCCACGCGGGAAGACCGCGTATACATGGTGCTCTGGTTTCGCGATGACGCTGTGAAACCAATTTACAGGTTATTATTCACCATCAAGATTGATAATGTTTGAGAAAACGATCAAATGTTTCAAACGATCGAGCGTTTCAGCTTCGACGTGCGAGGGAGAGCATTCAGCAAAGCTCTGAACTGGTCGGACAGCACGGTAGTCGGGCCGAGGGCTTACTTCGTCACTATGACGAAACCGGCTACCCTTTCGCTGGAAGCGGTTCAGCTGGACGACGAAGGGGTCTACCGCTGTAGAGTAGATTTCAAGAACTCGCCCACGAAGAACTTCCAAGTGAATCTCACAATAATAGGTACGGAGGGATGCGTCGAAATAAAATCCTCGTTCGGGAACGAGTGTCTTCGAACAGTTTGAAGAATCAACTGTCTCAACTTTGTTTTACTTTCAGTTCCACCTTATCAGCTTTTAATTTACGACAGTTCCGGCGTGGAAATGGATAACACCGCAGGACCGTTTCAAGTTGGCGTCGAGTTTAACCTCTCTTGCGAAGTAAGAGGAGGTAATTCACATATTTCGATCAGTTCACGTGACTTTTATTAAATGTTGAATCCAGCGATTAACCCCTTTCGCTCTGCCGGAACGCCGCCGCTGAATCCTACGAGAAAAGTGTGCACATCAATCGAATCATTTCCCGAATAGAATCTTTTTTGAATTTTCTGGTGACACTTGTGACATTCAAGGATCTAGAATGTTTTTTTCTTTTTTTGTTTTAACAAACTTTAATTTTTCAAACCTAACCTAACCTAACTTTTCAAATCTAACCTCTCGTTTTTAAGAGATCGACAGTATTACATGTATAGCCGGTCTTTTCCAAATCGTAATAGATTAAGGAAAATTTTTTGTTCAATAATATCTTATCCTACAAATGTTTATCGTCTCGATAGCTAAAGTGTATTATATATTTTTAATATGTGATTATTTCAAGATTAACTTTGGTTTTTTCTTCAGGTAAACCGACACCGGTGGTCAGTTGGTTTGTCAACGAGAAGGAGGTGGACAGCAAGAAAGAAATTGGAAAGAACCTAGTGGTCAGTAACTTGTCAGTACCTCAGTTGAGAAGGGAACATCGTAACACGAAGTACACATGTCGGGCCTGGAGCACAAACCTCATACCTCCGTTAGAAAAGACTATTCTCCTAGATGTCTATCGTAGGTGTACACAGAATTTGTATCACGTGGGAGGATCGTTCGTTTTATATGGTTATACTGAGATTTTGTTGTTTCAGTAAAACCATTGTCGGTGAAGATTCTGTCGAAACCGACGGTTCTAGAGACGGAGAAAGACTACTCCATTACGTGTGAGACGACAGGGTCGCATCCTCGAGCGCGAATCACCTGGCTGGAGGGGAACGCCGTTTATCACAATGGCAAAGTACATATTTTTAATGATTTCACTACGAAGTAAGAAACGTCATGATAGTTCCATCTCCGTGAGAAAGTCTTTTCAATTATTCAGGTGATCGACGGTGGTAATGCCTCGGTGGTCTTGAGCACGCTTAGATTTTCACCGGTCCCCGACAATCACGCGAAGATCCTCAAGTGTCGGGGGGAGAATCCAAAACTGCCAGACGCGTATCTAGAAGATTTCTTTCAATTAAACGTAGTTTGTGAGTACACTCTGAGTTTCTCAAAAATTCCGAGTTTGGATATAATGAATTCTGTCCGATATTTTTCTCTCGCAGTTCCACCTAAAGTACAATTACACCTGGGTAGTACCCTAAACGCGGAAAAAATAAAGGAGGGGGACGACGTGTATTTCGAGTGTAAGGTTCGGGCTAATCCGGAACATCACAAAATCACGTGGAGGCACAACGTGAGTGTTTTAGTATCAACCTGATAAATAATAATATAATATATTTTTATATTTATAATTATATGATTATTATAAATGTAACAGTTAGTTAGTAATAAATGAATCATTAAATAATTCGTAGGACGCAGTGCTAACGCAAAATTACTCGGCCGGGATAATCATGAGTACCCAGAGCCTCGTGCTGCAAAAGATTGGCCGAGACAACGCTGGGAATTACACGTGTCTCGCGAGCAACGATCGAGGTGAAACCACGAGCCCGGTAGTAACATTACGAGTACAGTGTAAGTTTAAAACTACAAATATAAAAAAAACTATTGACAAATGATGATTTGGCTATAATTTGCTTCTCCTTTTTTAATTATTTTCTGTTACTCTCTATTCTTTAGTCGCACCAGTCTGCAAAGCGAAAGAGGTGTCCATCATCGGAGCATCGTTGGAAGAGTCGGTGAAGGTCCGATGCGAGGTGGACGCCGATCCCAACGAAGTTGAATTCGTGTGGGAGTTCAACAACAGCGGCGAGAATTTCGAGGTCGCACCGGCGAAGTTCGACGGTAACAACGGAACGATGAGCGAACTCGTTTACACGCCAGTCTCCGAAAGAGATTACGGGGCGCTGACATGTTGGGGTAGGAACGTGATAGGGAAGCAAGAAGCGCCTTGCATCTATCAAATCATCCCAGCAGGTAATTTCTAAATGAATTGTTATGTCTTTGTGTCGTGCGAACACACGCGAGAAATTTGTTTCACGTTCCCAGTGAAGCCAAATCCTCTGAACAATTGTACGATAAAGGCGTCCTTGAATCAAAGTTCCGAGATCCTGGAAGTGGAATGCGTGCCAGGATACGACGGTGGATTGAGGCAAGAGTTTCGACTGGAGGCGTACGAGGTTCTCACGGGTAATTTGAGGGTAAATGCGTCGAGCGTGTCCGCGGACATGCCGATATTTAGGATCGCCGTGGCAGATCTTCTTCCCGCGACGCATTTTTATCTCGTTACGTACGCGGTGAACGCGAAAGGGAGGAGCGAGGTGAGTCTGTTGGAAGATATAATGCTGAGAGACTCCGAGAAGCACACAGGTAAGAGTTGCGTTTCCCAGTTTTTCCTGATTCAAGAAAAATGAAGTAACGCGTTGTTTCAGACACCGGTGTAAGCATGGTTCCACTCATTCTGCTTCTTATCGGTTGCCTAATGGCATTTGGCATCACCGTACTCTCGGTGATGCTGATGATGTACCGACGAAGAGGCACCACTTCTCCGGTTCATATTGAGCCTTACATGAAACAACCGATAATCACCCCTCCGGACTCGAGGAATAATTCGATGCTCGACGTTACGCACGGGGATCATACGTATTTTGTCGAGTACACGTTGAAACAGGTGACCGATTATGCGCTCAACAATCAGCCGGACATCATACAGTCGCCACAAGGTAAAAATTTGTTTTTACTTCTACAAGTGTAATACGTGTAACTTACTGAATATATAATGGTTTGATTTCAGATCAAGAAAAGATAAAACGCGAACCACAATTATTTTTACCTGTACGACCAGACACGCTGTTTGCACCATACGATATTCATAAGCAAGGACTTCAAAGTAACAGATGCAGTGTGAGTAGTACCCGTGTATAACAGCGTTAGTTACTATAATTGAGACAACGCTAATGCTGTTGATAATTGCTAATGTTCTCTCTTTCTTTTTTTTTTTTTTTCTTTCAATTTTTGTTGTAGTTAAATCCATTCTCCACAAAGTCATGGGAGCCTATTAGTTTTAAAGCCGATCGTAATTTAATGAAGGAGATCATCATTGCCAACTCCATACCCGGGCCAGAAAGTTGTGTGTAAAGAGTATCTGAGAGAGAACGAATGTGCGAAACATATCAAGAGGACCGACATTTCAAAGCCTAAAAGAACAATCGTACTGTATAATTGTTACGTTGGGTACCGGAGGATGAACATCAAACGAACTGCAACTAGTCTCCTCGTCGAGCTGGTTTATACTGCCCGAAGAAGAAACGGCATAGTACGATCGTTACGACGCGTTACACTGCTTACAGGTCGAATGTCTCATCATTGGAAAAAAAAAAAAACCTATGGAACTGAAGGAAAAGCTAGAAATCGTCAAGACTAGTTGCATACTAACTAAACGCTACACGTGGTGTATTATTCCAAGTTTAATATATTTTGTGTCAAGTCTTAGATGGTTTCCTTATTCCGTTGAAAATTTCACCCACTATTATCTTTTCCAACTGATCGAATTCGTTTGATCTTTCGTGTTCTGTTCCACGCACGTTCAAAATAATGCGTGTTTGACGTGAGTGTACCGAAGAGATGTGACGCAAGATTTCCCGTTACCGCAGAGATACGCGCGAAAGTAAATGCCGTAAATCGACAGCATCATTACAGCAACGACGCCGGCAATTACAACCATCACGCAAATTCTTTTTCGAATTTTTCTCAAAGCACGTAGACACCATGCTTGGCCAGTCGACATTGTACTTCTCATGAGTAAATTGTTCGATATATCGACTGCTTCGCTATTCGCCTCTTCTGTTAAATTCTCTTCGCGTTTTATTTTATACAACATAGAATCTGGTGATTCTTGCATATATCTTGTTTGCCACCCATTTGATATCGGGGATACCTTGTACTAGAGGGAAAAACAAAAATCGTACCAGTGTCCAAATTCTAAACTAAATGTTTTCATTGATATTTAATGTTACTTGAGTATCGTAAAATTTATGTATTTGTCGACGAACTAATTGAATTATCTTGCACTTTTCGTGTTTCAAATTTTTTATAAAATCATCTTCGTCAATATCACGGATCCTTTGCTCGTGAAATTTTTCATCTACGTGCCTCTCGGGACACGTATTTTCATCGCATATCATTTTTCACTTTACGTGTCATTCTTCTCATAGAAAATTACAAATGAAATTCTAAAAAAAAAAAAAAAAAAAGTTGAAAGACTGGCATATTTTGTTAATGTGACTTTGAGGTTTTAAAATATTTTTATAACCATTTCCTTCATTGAAAATTTGACGTAGTAATGCATCGCGTTAAATCGATTGTACAAATTAACATGAAAGTTCGTAACAAAACACTTTTCTATTTCTTTCAAGTTTACAAAAACACGATGTAATTTTATAGATCGGATCAAATGCCACTTCAAGATATTTTCGGTTAATGCAAGCACATAAGCATCAAGGATTTCTCTGTCAGTCTCCATCAGACAAAAAAACGACTAAATGTCCAGAGTCTAACTTTTGTGGTAAATATATTAAAAAAAGAAAGCTCAATCTTCACGGATGAAAATAAATGTAAAAGAGGAAATGGATAATCCAGACTGTCCATGGCGCAGAAGAAAATAAAATACTACCAAACGACAAGCATTTGACTTTTTTTTATTTTCGTACAAAATTCAGTGGTTTATCAAAATATGTTTAATAATGCGAAACACGTATTTCATAAAATAAAAATTGAGATAAAATACAATATATACACAAAGTATTATTAACCGTTCTAAATCTTTATTAATTAACTTTTGGTTTCTTCTCTGGTGGTGGTTTCATGTCTTTCTTTTCCGTTTTTATTTCTTGTTTAATCTCCATTGCTACAACATTAACAAACAAATTTTACTTTCATGCTTGAAACATGTCAAGAGAAACTATCAGTGTTAGCACTTACAAGGTTCTATGGCTTGGTGTACTGGCTTTGGGACAGGTAATGGAAATTTCCGTGTAAGTTCAGCCAGCAACATATCTACTCTTTGCCGCTGAAACAAAGAACTTGGTTCTTCACGAACGGGTGTCTCTTTCTTTGCTGCCAATGCTTTTCCATTTTTGAAATCCCAATAATAGCCTTTACTAGGATGATACCTCGAGCATGAGCTAGCTTCTTCAAAGGCAGACTGCAAGTGGTGTACCGTAGATAACTGTAAAACATAATTCTGTAAATCAACAGCACATCCTGAGACTAAACTTTCAATAAATTTTAAGTACCAATCTAGAGCTCACAACTGATGCTAGATCAGGAGCTTGATATACAACACCAGCAATAATATAATAATCCGCAAGCGGTGCTGCTAAAGTAGGAGAATGACGATGTTGCTTTCTGATTACATATAAAATAGGTGCTTGTACATGTAAAAGAATGTATTCGAGACCGGTCATATTTCTAAAATAAAAAAATTCAATTAATGACATTTTATCATTCTTAGGCAAATTTTATTCTACTATCACTTACTGTAATTGATCTGGACTTAAACGCTGCATTTTAACAATTTCATTATTACACGTTCTGTCATAAAAAGGATTACTTCTTTCAGAAAAGTAATCCATTATGTTGTTTGGATTTAATACAGGAATCCACGCGCTATCGTGCCAAGAAAGTCCCAGAGGATTCTCTTGGTCGCATTAAATAAAAAAAAAGATTATGAAGGACATAAGCAAATTAATTAATAACTTTGGTAACTTTAATTTATTTTTCTATACTGTTACCTGTCACAGGAGGTCTTCCAGATAACATCTTTCTATTATAGGTTATACGTTCATTAAATACTTAAAATATTTTAATACTGCTTGCTTCTCCGTATTAATGAGAATGTTTCTAATCAATCTACGTACAAACGTCATTAGTTGTTTAACTTAAGTATTAAAAATACTTAATAACGCATAAAATTAGAAACGCAAGAGTAATATGAATAATTACCATGATCACCTCCAACAACATTGCCAGAAAACAGGGATTACGATTATGATTAATGTATCACTCTCAAATATCTTTCTAACCCTAAGATCAAAATAACATCAAAGTAATATGTATATAATAGGAAAACAACAAAAAATAGGAAATAATTGATTTTATTCTCCTTTACGAATGACAAATAAAAAAAAGTTGCGCATCATTTTTTCCCCCTTTTTAGTTCTTTAAAATTGTGTCATTCAGAAATGATTATCGAGCATCGCCATTGTCGAAACAAAGAATGCAGGACATTGTTCACACGTGGAACAGAGGCTTTTAAATAAAAGTGTGTCAAATACGAAAAAAGACGCTTGGATTCGAAAGAGAACGGGTCACGGACGTGACCCAGTAGGACGCTTTGAACAAAGAAACAAAGCAAACAAGGCAGAGGCAAATAAATAAAATGTAAATAAATTAAAAACACAAATTCAATTTTTCTTGTTTGACGACCACAATTAAACGATATGTTACGCAAAAAAAAATAGGTCGTAAATTTTTTTTTTTTTTTTTTACAAAAAATAAAATATACAGAGAAAATTAGAGAACGGTACAGATATTTTTCGCCGTGATGTAAAGTTCTTTTCCAAAATTAACAAGTAGAAGCACGATCGTGAGACGAGGAGGAGCTTGTTGATAGATAAAATGATTCGAAACGAGGTGATGTATTTTACAATGCCGCTGGGTGCTGCGAAAATTTTATGTAACAGTGGGGATATGTACGGAGAGAAGTATCATTCCTGGCTCAAGATGATATTAATCTCAATGCTATTTCCACACGGGATACGTATAGCAACTTACGTGTTCTCATCGTTCAGTCATCAAAATACGGTAAGGACATCTGCACCAAGCTATTTATTACACTTGTGTCCACACACGTTACTTTCTATTTTTCGATACCTGTCAATCACAGGTTGTTGCACGCTAAACGAATCGTTTAGATTATCTGTTCGCTTCAGTAGAACACGAATTTTTCTCACATGAAATTAATTAATGTGTATTATTTAATCCTTCTTCGATGTCTACTTACCATAATTTACACAAAAATATAGCAATAATTTTCTCATTATATTACTGTTATTTTTAGTTCCTTTCCCCGAATGTGCAAAAATTATTACTCCATAACCATAGCTTATAAAAATAGATATTTTACGTAATAATACCACAAAATCTAGACATTTGTATACTTTTCAATAGCGTTATCTTTATTAATATTGTTATTATTTTTTCAATTTCATAGTTTCATTATTGATCGTAATCATAAACAATTCGAAATATTTACCGTTCCCTCTTTGAAATATCTTGAAACTGAAAAATATTGAATTCCATAAAAATTTTATTATAATTCATAATTGCAGAAAAATTATGACCACTATTGAAAAGGAATATAGAATAATACCGCTTCATAAACGACCGGACTTGATTCCAAACTGTTGCACTTTACTGAATTCTGAATGGCCAAGAAGTGAAACTGCACGGTATATCACACAATATTTAATTTAAACAAAATTCTATCTAACAATTCAATAATAACCCACTCATATGTAAAATAGGTTAAAATTTCTAAATGTATCGTGCGATGAGTTTCCCATATGCCTTATACTAATAGATAAAGAAGAGAGGGTCCTTGGTCATTGTAAAGTATCTTTGATACCTAGATTACGTCATAGTTGTTTTATACAGTCATGTAAGTATTACCATTTCAATGAACAGAGCAAAAGTACACAAAGAAGAACAAAATTTAGTTTTCTGTTTCTATTTCAGTGATAATTGACTACCAGCGTAGATCACAGGGTCTAGGATCTAGATTATTACGTGGAGCTGAAGAACATGTAGCAAAGAAAGGAATTAAAAATGTATATTTAATAACTAAAGGGCAAGAACTTTTTTACTTAAAAAATGGATACAAAACGTGTGATCCATTTAAAGCATCAGGCATCAATGACGTTGTGTATTCTAGTGCAGCATTTACTAAAGCGAAGCTTAAAGAAAAAAGTACACAATTTTGTGGCCCGCCACCACCTCCAATGCCAAACTATCAAATGCCAAAGTTCTACGATCTAGGTGTTTTAACACAGAGAACGCATATGGTAAAAAGATTATCATCACAGTGACAGATAATTTTATTTTTCTTTCTTTTTCAAGATTCTTTTATATTCCATTTAATACGCGTATTATTTATTTATTTATCTAAAAAGTTATTTTTTTAATAGTTTTTAAATACAAAAGCTGCTTTTCATGCACACATCTCCTTCGTTACAAAACATAATTACAACCATTCCAACAGATGTTTAGAATCAGAGCTATTTTCTAATAGTTTACAGTTTCCGGTTTATGGTTTAGTATCAATACAATACATTTTGTACAAGTTGTTATTTCTGCAAATTTCCTATTTATTTTTTTATATGTTTAAAAATCAAAACTCTCCTTCAAAATATTTTTTTAATTTTGCACGCACTACAAGATATATTTTTTGTTATATTATGCAACATTGGCAATGCCACAAACTTTCTGATAATGTTCTGGTTGTTGAAGACTTTCAATGAGAAAAGCTCCTAAATCATGTTTGGAAATTGCCCGACCAGGAGATTCATCATGTTTGATTATATATTTTGAGTTTTGTACGTCTGCAAATAATCAAAGTATGCATTAACTTTGTCTCTAATTGTAAAACAGATGTTGATAATTTTTATTGGAAAATTATAAACACTTTGCATAATAAATACCTGCAATATGAGGTGGTAATATCGCAATCCATTTTAATTTACTTTCTTTAAGAAGGTCAAACATACGTTGATGGTCTGCATTTAAATCTTTAAATATACTAGGCACTGCTTCAGGCTTGTAGAACAAAAATGCTACAAGAAATAAAAGGTTATTAGTCAAAAATACACGAAAATTTTCAATACACATGTAAACAAATAAAAGTAAGTAAAAAGATCAAGTGAAATTTACCAGACAAACAGACAGATATTATTTCTACATTATGCGCTTTCATAGCGTCTATTATATTTTTCATGCCATTGGACAACACTGTAGTTGGACCTAAGTAAAAGTTTACGGTGAATATTATATGTACATCGTACCACGAGTGGAAAAATTAATACCTTGTGTGAAATTGAATATTTACTCAAGTCATTCCGTGTACCAAGCACAACAACCACTCCATCCCTGTTGGATATTGCGTTTAAAACTTGTTCTGGATTAGTAACATCTCCGACAACTATTTCGACTTTGTCCTTCAAGTTTGCCGGTACTTTGCCTTCATCTCTCACGAATGCTCTTACATTTAATCCTAAATTTTTTTTATGCGATCGTTAAAGAGAAAAGAATAGAATTAATTTTTGCGCGAAATTCGCACTTTTTTAAAAATTTTAGAAAAATCTCGCTATTTTACATTTCTCAAGAGAAAATCATCGTTCGCAAATATATTGGGACGAAAGCATAATTAAAACTAAATTAAAAATCGTACAGTGATTAATCTAGTTATCAATTATCTATGAAATATTCCGTCTCTATTGCGTTTTAGTTTGTTAAAATCTCATACGTGTATAAAAAATAAATTATATTAATGTTAAATGGTAAGGCAAATGACATTTTACCCTTATTTACAGCACTATTTAAAGCACATAATCCGGTGTTTCCTGTAGCTCCAAATATCACTATTCGATTCATGGTGATACGACCGCTATCAGATAAATACTGTAAATTCGTTATCCCCTTTAAGCACTTAGAAGCGATTTTTCAAAAGTGCTATGTCATGTCTATATAGACTTTAAAGCAGCAATTTCAAAAAGATTTGTAAACAAGAATATGACGTATATTTTTGCTGACTTGTTATTTTGATAATCTATGTAAATGAATCGAATTAAAGGAATAAAATTACTAGATTTATAAGTGGCTGTTATTGTATCATATACATATATATATGATAACCTATATTATGCGAAAAATTTTATATTTATTTTTAATATATTTTAAATATTATTTTTAATAGTTTACAAATATTTATATTTACATAAGCATGTAGCAGCATATTTTATATTTACATAACATGCAGTAATAATTGCAGAATATGACACTAATGTTTTAAATATTTGATGAAAAATAAAAATTAATCCAATTAATTAAATGATTTTCATTTATTACACAAAACTTCATAGACCATCATACACGCATACAATATACAGTTTAATCAAAATATAGAATTTCTGTTGTCTCCATAATAAGACCAATAATTTTGTAAAATTGCACAAATATTTAGACAACTTTAAATAAATAAATATATACGCTCCTTTTGTATATTTTTATATTTTGTATATCTTCACAGCACAATATCAATATTCATTTTTGGTTAAACATCATACACACAACTTTTATATTATTATTATTAAAAAAATTCTTTATTATATAATAAAAATGTTGTAACACTTCCTGTTAGGCATAATAGGATGGTGGCATTATTAAATCTTGCAATACAGACAACTGTTCTTCTGTGAAATGTTGGGTATACTCTTTCGTGCCTTTCAGTCCGTTATGAGTTCTTTTAAAATCATCTAATGTCTTTTTAATTGTCATCTGTAACTCAGAAAAGTTTTATTATTCAACAAATTAGATTTATACTAACTGGTACAGACTGTGGTTCCAAATTCATTTTATACTAACTGGTATAGGTTGTGGATCATTCATATGAGCACAAAGATGTTCAAAAATTGGAGGAACATATTTCGGTATGTCATATGGATGAGCTTGTACAAAGGCACACATTCCTATTATAGCTGCATGACGAATACGCAAAGCGTCAGATTTTATATTCTTTTTCGTTTCTCCTTTATTACAGTTCAAAGTTTCCTTTTTACATAACTTAGTCTTTGCTTTTTTCTTGAATTCTTCCTGAAAAAATCAATAGGACGTTTATAAATATTGTAAATAATAATGATAGAAATAAAAATACATCAAATATATTCACCAATAAATGCTCTTGATCAGGTATAAACATACAGTGCACTAACCCGCTAAGGACTTTGCCAGCATTTTTTCTCACTTCAACTCGTTCATCTTCCAACAAACGTAAAACTACATCTTTAACGAAGTTAACCCATGCTGGATTACTTAAAAATGTATACATATTGTAAAATACCCAAGTCTGAAGGAATTCCAAGCAAGAAAATCTTGTCCACCAAGATATGTGTTTTGACATTTTTTCTACTGCTTCTATAGCTATTGACATGTTACACGGCAATGTGAATGCTTGCGCATATACTGTTAAAGCAGATGTGCACGACTTTTTTAATTCTTCGTCCGTTTCGCAATTTTCCATCTGATATATAATTGGGAATATTTGATACAGTTCTGGTGGTAAACCGTACCATACATAATTCATATTTACAATCCACTTACAAATTGTCTTGAGTAATCGTATTGCTCTTTCTTTTTCTTCTTCGTTTATTCCTATTTTTTTTAAATCGTTCAAGTTAACAATGGATACTTGCGTAGGTGGATTTTTTACATCGTTGTTGAATTTTATTGCATTCTCATCTACAAGAGGTTGTAATTTCGGTACTATTTTATCTAAGAAATCTTGTATCTGCGGTATCGACTGACTATTCGATGTTTTGTAACACGTGAACACTGTTACTAAAACAGAGCTTAATCGTTCCCTGACGTTTTCAAATGGATTTGCTAGTAATCTATCTTCTATCCGTTTCAACAAACGTTCCAATAACTCCAAAACACGCCATGGTTGTTTAGAAAGAGCCACTTGTAAAATATACAATCGTCCCGATTCAATAAAGGATGATTCTGATTCATCAATACAAATTTCTTCCATCAAACATTCCAATAGCCAATGCTGTCTGTTTGGGTCTCTATTTTGTTGAGCTATAGAAAAACAAAAGACCCAGTCCGTAAGAGTTTCTGGCGTTATATTAATTAAAACGAGTTTTATAAGTGGCAATAAAGAATCCCACATTTCACGAATCATATTAAATGGCCAATGTTTTGAACCCTTGATAATTCCCGCAATAATTTCGGCTGCGCATTTGTGATTACTCTCTTGCTTATCCTTTACTAATTTGTACAAATGCGGCAGCAAATTTTTAAGAAATACTATGCCGTGATTATGGAAAAGATTTTTAAAAAGAAGATATCTGTAGTAATTAAATTTGTCTTTATCCTTTCTCATCTCGAGGCTATAAAATCTTATTAGTTTTTCGATATTTTGCAGATCATTGAAAAAGAGATCAATCTCTTTCTCCTGATCTGTTAATTCTCGTGTATCTGGATTTAGAGATGGTTGTTGAGACGTCGGCGCGTACAGTTCAACTTTTTTTGGCCATGTGTAATATCCTACATGTGGCTTGTGAACAAATTTGGGTTCGTCCCACTGTTCTGCAGTCAAGGGACGAGTTTCGAAATTATACCGAAGCCAAGAATTATCTTCCCTCTGTCCTACGAATTTCACAGATTGATTTTCTGGTAACGTTGGTGCGTCAATCATTATCTTTAAATTCAAAATTTAAAATTATGTTTAAATTATATTATATCAAAATCATTTGCGAAGTAAATTTTTTTCATTAATGTAATTTACCTTTGGATGTTTTCTTTTTTGTTGTCTCAACGTGCATATAATTACTCGAAGAGCAATGCTTCTTTCAATGATTGAATCGTGTATTAATGTTTCTAGAAAGTAGCGAACTACTTTTGACGGATAAATTTGTTCTGGGTGAACCAAATGTCGAATAAAATCTAACGCCATCAAACGATGTCGCCAATGTAAATTCTTTTCCAAAAGTGCACTTAACAAATCATTTACCAAGCCATTATAGGATGCCAAATTACTTTCGTTAAACGTTTGAGCAATTTTTAAACCTTCCGCAATTTCATCTTCTGTAGGTTGAGGTAAATTAGGTTGAGGATTAGTACTCCATAAAGCAGTTGCTAGTTCCGAACATGTATTCGGTATTTCGAATGTAATAGCAATCGTTGTAAATTGTTTAGTTATAATTTTCATAACATTCTTTTTCAAGCAAATTATAGATAATTTTTCACATGGCTTAGAAAGTACCAGAGTCATCCATAAATCTCTCATTATATTCCGATCGTGTTTGATAAAAGTTTCTTGAGAATCAAGTAAAATATTTAAAGCTCCCTTTGTAACACAGAATGAAGTATTAACAAAAATTTTATTAAACGTTGTTTGTTGCTTATGGTTGTTATTGTTCTTACCTCGTACGCATCGTGATTCGCTTCCGGATCCTCTCTCAACGCGTCAAGTAATTTTGGAACAATAATTTTGCACGAGAACAATAAGTAATGGAAAGCCCGAGAAAGGACGCACTGAGCTTTATGTCGCACACCAGAATACCTGCTAGTAGCTAGTGTAAATAATTTTAACATTATTTCTTTATGAGTTTCAGTTAAATTAATAATTTGTGAATATGCACGTATTCCATGTTGAATACCCGCACGTAGCAGTACAAAAGATCCTATTATTCCCCTTTTCCTTACTAACATATCCCTCATTATTCTCTGCGCACTCTCTACATTTTTGTGTTTTGCAATAGTGTTCATAACAGATGCAGTTCCAAGTAAGAGATGACCCCAAATCTAAAAATTAAAAACTGAATTTGAATACTCTTTAATACCCTTTACTGACTTATTACTCGGTATAATAGTAAATACCTTTATCAAAACAAATAAACTTTTCGTATCACCTTCGGTATTCTCAAGTATTACATTTTGCAGCTTACTCATAAGTGTCCCAATGTAATATTTGACATTACTACCGTCAGGCATTGATATCTCATGTTTTGTACCGAGTATTGGCCTGAAAGGTTGCCATTTTAAAGACGATTTTATTAAATCTAGTGGTTTTCCTTCGTATATGGGTAAAACAGAATCACAACCTTCAATAACGCTGTTTACAATATTCAAGCTGGTCAATAATTCTTCCCTAAAAATGCATCATAAATGTATTATAATTTTACAATATCTTACCGATATGTAATGAATACTTTCATTAAATATCGTAGAAGTGACGGTTAACCTTGTTAATGTGGACCAATCTTTACAATATGTTTCTAATTTATTTGCTTCGGGAATTAGATATTTTAAAAATATTCGATTTATTGCAGCCATTTCTTCTTCGCCAGGTATGTACCATTTAACTTTTAAAGTATTAATATCTATAATTTGACCCCAGTATCTTATTCCTTCAGTAGATGTAAAATGATATGGTATCATACTGGATAGTGACTGAAGAATTGCTTTTAGTAATATACAAGCTAAGTTGTTTCCTTCCCTTGAATTTAAAATTACTACACGATCGAGAACTGTTATGAGTGTATCTATATAAGGTAGTAAATTGTTCCCTGTTGTATGAACAGTTGCAGATAAAAGCAACATTGCATGTAAAAGACGGTCATCCACATGTTCCTCCTTAATAATATCACTATTCTCGCCAGTGATATCTAGGATAGTTTGTGAAAGTACAGGCAATAACGTCTGCAAAGTTTCTTTGCCATTAACTTGGGCAAATACTCGACACAAACCAGCTGCCAATTGTCCAGCAACCTCAATTTCGAGTATACGTTCAGTTATATATATGCATAATTTATCTAAGGCCTTTTTAAATATCGCGTCATTAATCTGCATTAACAGGACCATGCACACATTATACACAACAGTTTCTCTGACTTTTTCTAATTTACTCTTCTCACCGCCAGCAGAATTTTCTAGTCTCACCAATTCTAAAGAACTGTGATCTATAAAGGAAAATATCTTGTCCAAAAATTGTAAAACAAAATCTTCAAATCCAGAAGCTGTTTCATAATCTAATCTCTCTTCTTCGTCTACTGTCGCGATTGGCTTGGAAGTATCCACAATAGGTATGTAGCAGGCATAAACAGAAATAAGACGGAAAGCTAGAAAGCACTTTTCTGGATTATTTGGATCGAGGTTAAGCAGAAGCAGAGAAAGTAGTGGTAAAATATTTCTTGGACCTTCTGGGTACGTATAGCCTATAAAAAGAAACATAATTTATGCAAAATGAGGAACTATATATCAATATATAATCAGTAAAGAATAATTCACACCTTCATTTACATTTTTAGACCCTTCTGCCATTGGCCTAGCTATAGCTTCCATACAACTCAACGCAGCAATCACCTTATGTGATTCTATTGTGACAGAAGACGTGTTTAACGTAGAAGACACTCTATCCAAAACATACGGAATAACCAAATTGGGTCTTATAGCAGCAAGATATTGCAATGCATATGACGCATCAGTAACACTTAATTTATTAAACATTGCTGCCATAGTTACTGGCAACATGCTTTTGACAAATGCATCGACATCACTATCGGTTAATTTATATTTTTTGGGAGTACGAGTTTCCCAAGTTGACTTGGCGTATCTTTCTCTGTAATGTAAATATAATGTAACATTATGAACTTGTAAATGTTCATAAAAATTCATTTTTGTTGATTCATACTTATGCAAACGCGTAATAAAAGATAATGAAAGCTTTGTAAGAATCATTTTTAATATGCCCAACCAGCAACCACTATTGGCAGGATGAAAATATGTTTCCATTGTTTTCAAAAATTTATCAAGGTATGTTTGAGCACTTGATCCATTCCCCTAAAAACATTAAAAAATATATGAAATGACATTTTGTTTAAACATACTGTGTGACTTGCAGTAAAACCTTACTAGAACTGATACTATCCACATTGTTATGGAAGTTGCATCCATTTCATAGTGTTTATTTCTTTGTATGTTATTATATGATACTGGTAATTTTAAGCATCGCATAAATCTAGTAAACATTAGTGGTATATAAGGTTCCCAATTAATGTATCCAATATTGAAATTAGCTAATGCTGATATTAATTCCATCATTTTATTTCCCCACGTTGGTGCATTGTCACACATTTCCCACAATATCATGAATTCTTCAAGCCACAATTGATATCCAATCGAATGGTATTTTGGAGGTAATTGTACTGGTAAAAACCATCGTAATAGTTGTATACTTTTAGACATTGTTAAATCATCAAAAAGGCAAAAAGTTGGTCTCAGTTCGTCTAATATCTCTTGCGTTGCACTCAACTATTACAATGAATTAATATTTTATTTTTTTGTTAATTTACTTAAGAAAAATATTCACTTACAGGAAAATAAGTTTTTGCATATATAATAAGTAATTCTGTTGCAGTTTCATGAAAGTTACAAATATGACACATTTCAGGACGAGTGTCTTTTGCTTTTATTATACGAAGGATCATTTTATAAAGAGGCCGCCATGGCAGTTCCAATTCACGAGGAGATATTAACTTTTTTTTTCTATAAATATAGATTAAAACATTTATATTACAAATAATATAATATATAAATAAAGCACATATACTATAAACAATAAAGAAATTTATTTCTTATGACTTACTTTAATAACACTAGCAATGCAACAAGACATTTAAATGTACAAGCTGTAGGTATTTCTGAAAGTGTAACCAGTTCATATAATAACTTTATAAACAAGATGTGATCTTCTTTGCTAAAGTGAAATCCATATACGTTTATGTAACTAGAAAAAATATTCATGAATCCAAATTATAAATATACATCTCTAAAATAAGCAGTAATAATTAAAATGTAATTGTCGCCTTCTTTCAGATATTGCAACAACATAAAAACACTGTACTTACTGGCACAGTTTGGTAACCCATATGTAGCAGCCTGGCCATGTTTCATTAATCATAATGGCATATCCCAAATTTGCCTTAATCTCGGCTAATAAAGCCTGTGATTCTGCCTCTAAGTCATCTGCGTAAGGCAACAATTTGTTGTATATAAACTTTTTGAACTGGACATCTTCTAAACTTTTGTAAATAGAAGTATCCGTGAAATCTTTGTTCATTGTAACGCAAGGTCTCTTATTATTACGAGCACTAGAAGCACAAATGAATCGTAGGAGCCTACGGAGGGGTACACGGCACAATGCAAAATCATGTATGTTATTGAATCAATAACAACTTGCTTATTCCGCTTCGATTTTATTGAGTCACGTTTTGCATTTCAGGTGGCCATGTTTGATGAGTAAAAAGCATGAGTTACTATAAACCAAGAGAAACATCGATCTTCCATGTTCAATACATCGATAATCACATGGTTGTTCATAATATCGATTCATAAATTCGATTTTTACATATCGTACACTTCATTTGATTTGTAATAAAATTTTTGTACCACAAATGTAGTACTAAATTTTCCAGTCTGAATATCCTTTTTCTTTTCAACCTGGAATTATTAATAATTAATAAAAGCACATTCGAGATTTTTCTTAAGTGTTCTATTAGTATCAGAAATGAATATACATATAGAAAATGCTAGCCACTTTCTTTTAGATGTACAAAACTTTATCAATTGCTTCGATCTTTGAACCTTTTAGTCGTCATTTCACTATTTCGAATTTTTATCATTATTTTAACATATTGTATTTAATATATTTTATGTATTTGCTTCGTTTCAATAAATTATATTCATTTTTTTATCTTCTTAATTATAATTTGTTTAAAAAATGGTTTTTGTAACCGTGTCTTGTATTATGCGAAAATACATATTACAAATTAGACACGGTGTTTATTATTGAAAAACAGAAGAACACCGTTTACTGCGAAAATTCCACGTTACTTTTTAGCTAACATACAACGTAAACATATGGCGGCAGCTGTAAGCGAATATACGAACGCAAGTCCAATCACGAAGGAATGCTGATGGTTAATGCAAAGTTGATGGATTATTTTGTATGAGTTTTATGTTACACAAATGAAACGATGTTTTATATTTCTTTAACACTTGCTTCTTTTAAATAAACATGTTATTAAAGCAGAGTTAATGTGTAATTTTGAAAATAATAAACGTTCGAACGAGGTTAATTTCGAATTTTTGTATTAAAAAGTCGTCAATATTTCTCTCTCAGAGTTTTAATCAATAGTTTAATTAATTTTGAAATGACAATACATTAATGTATGAAACGACAATATATTAAATAAATGTGTCAAAATGAGGACTAGAAAAATATTGGCATTTCTCAGTGCGGGCTTGATCCTTGCCTGTTGTATTATGATGTATTTAATAATGGATTTAACGATCTTTCCACCTGGTCAAGGATCTAAACTCTCTGTTAAGGATGTAAGTTGTTTAATGATACGTATGTTGCAATTTATTATAATATTGAACGTATAAATTACATTTCTTTATATATAATAAGCAAAAATAACTTGTTCTATGCTCAGAATCAATGGCTGCACTTTGAGAATAGATTAACAAAGTTAGAGAAAGATTTCAATAAGCATCATGAAGTTATGAATGCCCTAAAGGAAGTGGCTGAAGTGAAACATCTCGTGCGTAAAGCCTATTCTGTAAATCATCCCAATCATTCTATATCGTCCAGTTCTTCCCATTTAGGAAAAATACTCAAATGTAATTTTAATATTCAAAAAGTTCCCGAAGTAGACATTCAAATGTTGGAGGTATACAGACAATTGGAGTTTGATAATGTGGATGGTGGAGTGTGGAAACAAGGATGGGACCTCACGTACGATGAGAAACAATGGCATCCGAATAGAAAACTAAAAGTCTTTGTGGTTCCACATTCTCACAATGACCCTGGTTGGCTTAGCACCTTTGAGAAATATTATACATTTCAAACGCAAAATATATTGAACACTATGGTAACAAAATTAGCAGAGGACAGAAGACGTAAATTTATTTGGGCAGAAATATCATTCTTTCAACTTTGGTGGGAAGATCAGTCTAAGATAACGCGTAACTTAGTCAAGCGTTTGATTCATGATGGTCAGTTAGAAATTGTATCAGGTGGTTGGGTCATGCCAGATGAATCCATTTCTCATTGGATCCCTCAGTTAACGCAACTCACAGAGGGACATCAATGGTTAAAATATAATTTAGATTATACACCCAAATCAAGCTGGGCTATTGATCCATTTGGTCTTTCTCCAACTATGCCATATCTATTGAAAAAAGCGGGATTGGAAAATATACTGATACAAAGAGTTCATTATTCAGTTAAAAAAAGATTAGCTAGACAAAAGCAACTTGAGTTTCGTTGGAGGCAGTTGTGGGATAATGATGGATCGACAGAAATCTTTACACATGTAATGCCATTTTATAGTTACGACGTACCACACACTTGTGGCCCAGATCCAAAAATATGTTGCCAATTTGATTTTTATAGACTGCAAAATTTTGGACTAAGTTGTCCATGGAAAATAGCTCCAAGAGCCATAACTAAATCAAATGTTGCAGAAAGAGCTGCCCTCTTACTGGATCAGTATCGTAAGAAAGCTCAACTGTTTAAAACAGATGTGGTATTAGCACCATTAGGAGATGATTTCAGGTATACTCATTTTACTGAGTGGGATGCTCAATATAAAAATTATCAAAAACTTTTTGATTATATGAATCAGAATCAAAAACTGAACGTTCAAATTAAATTCGGAACATTGAGCGATTACTTTGATGCAATTAGGGAAAAACATAATTTAAATGAATTTCCTACTTTATCTGGTGACTTTTTTACATATTCCGATAGAGATGACCATTATTGGAGCGGATATTATACAACAAGGTATTTTCAAATTAAAATTAATCGTAAATTATCAACAACATGTTTATTAAATACGTTTTAGGCCTTTCCACAAACGATTAGATCGTGTATTGTTAAGTTTACTGAGAGCATCGGAAATATTAACTAGTATTGCTTGGACCAAAGGTAATGATAATTTAGTGGAAGGTACTCTTGCACAACGTTTGAGCAAAGCAAGAATGTGGCATTCTTTATTTCAACATCATGATGGTATTACTGGAACTGCCAGAGATGAGGTTGTTATAGATTACGCTAAGAAGATGATAATGGCTTTAAATAATTCTGCACATGTATTGCAACAGTCAACAGTTCATTTGTTGAAAACTCCACAAGAATCTTCTGTTAATATAGATGCTGTATATATTTCACTCGATGAATCTAGGTTTGGGAGAATAATTTATGAATATTTTTTAAAAACAATTATATTTATCCTGAATATGTAAAAGACTCATTTTTTAATACTTTAGATTGCGCCATACCAGTGTAGGAGACAAACATGTAATAATATTAAGGGACGAAAGTCCTTTAAAAAAAGTTATTCTTTATAATTCCATTCCACGACAAAGAACAAAAGTACAGACATTGGTTGTATCTACTCCATTTGTTAAAGTTACTGATCGTATGGGGCAACCAGTGCAATGTCAACTTTCTCCAATCTGGATTGGACCTGCTGCATTAACTGTTGCTAGATATGAGTTATCATTCTTAGTTACCGTACCTGGATTTGGTATTACAACATATATAATTCACGCTTTGCCGAAATCAACGTTTCCACCGTATGTTATTTCATTATTTAGATTATTAAATTGTTAAATTTATTTTCACCGACTTTTTACTATTTATTGTATGCAGGGAAGTGCATGTTGCAAACATAGTTGTTTTTAATACAGACATAAATCTCCCAAAAATACCAGGTTTTAATCAAATTCAAGTAGTACCAAACGCACAAGAATTTTCGATTACGCAACGACCAGAATTATCTGCATCTTTTGGGAAATCAGGTCTTCTGAAAGCTTTAAGAGTCAGTAATACAACAGTCCCTATTCATTTAGAATTTGTCAAATACGGTACCAGAGGTACGGGTAAAGATAAAAGTGGAGCTTACTTATTTTTGCCTGACAAATCAGAACCAGATTTAGTATATATAGATAATAAGTGTATTATACACTTAATAACTGGACCCATTGTATCCAAAGTATTTGTAGAATTTGCACATGTTCGTCACACTTGTATATTGTATAATTCTCCTGGTAGTGATGGACTTGGTTTACACATTCATAATGAAATTAACATATCAGAAACTCAAAATTATGAACTTGCTATGAGACTAAGTACAGACATAGCTTCGGGAGACCAATTCTATACAGATCTAAACGGCCTTAATGTAAGTAACAATGTTTAAAATATATTATTTCAGTAATCATATCTAAGCAATAATTATTATGTAGATGATCAAACGTCAAAGATTTCCAAAGCTTCCTACGCAAGGAAACTATTATCCGATGGCAGCAAGTACATACATAGAAGATAAGAGGTTTAGGTTAACAGTTGTAACAGCACAACCACTAGGTGTAAGTTCTATGGCATCTGGACAAATTGAAGTATGTATTTCATATGTCATTTATTCATATAAAAACATAGTGATATTACAATATATAAAATATTTTTACATAGATAATGCAAGATAGAAGATTACTTCAAGATGATAACAGAGGACTTGGACAAGGCATAACTGATAATTTGTTAACAAATCATATATTCATGTTCGTTCTTGAAAAGAAAAAGTCTTTCTGTACAGCTTCAACGCCACCAACAAATCATCCATCAGGTGTATTGTCATTATATGGTCATTTAGCATCAGAAGAGCTATTGCATCCTATAATTGCAATGCATCCACACAATTCTTTACCTTTTAATTTAAATGCACATTTCTCCCCACTTCGTTATGATTTTCCTGCCGATTTAAGCGTTGTTAGTTTTCGAGTATTTCCTATTCCTGAAGGAGCTGGTAAAGGTATTGGAATGGTTTTACATCAAGCAGCTTTAGATATGTGTTGGAACGACAATTCTTATTTACGTTATTTTAATGTTTCCGAATCTGTAGAGGTTGATTTAACAAAGTTCCTTAATTATATAGATGATTGGGTTATTAGTAAAGCTCCTCTTACATTCCATAATGTAGGGCCATCATTGAAATCGCCTATTGTTAATTTATGTCCACACCAAATATTACCAGTTTTATTTCATAAGATACAATCTTAGGGATAGAGTTTAATAATTTTTTGGACTTATTAAAATGAATTTAAGTTTTTGTTCACTGTTCCACTATCAACGGCCTTACTTAAAATAATATAATCCAATTGATCAGATGTTGACGGACTGGTTTTATCCATCTTGTAGCTGTAAGAATATCAGTTGAAAACAATTATTCAGTGAAAACTATTATTTTTACATACTTCTAAAAATATGAAATACTGTTTGCATATGAAAACTGTTCTTATATAAAATATTTTATACATAATATTTTCTTAATTTAATATCTTAGATTTGTTAGAGCTTTGTTCAAATATTTAATTGATAATTAACGGATATAAATACAAATGTAAAAATACAAAGACACATTCTCATAGTTGTATCAAAAAACAAAATGTATGTTTTTATAGGATCACATTTCAATGCTAGTCGTACTATTACTTTAGAAAATGTAATTTTATACATCTGTACTGTATGTATTCTAAATATTAAAAAAAATGTGTAATAAAGTTGAAAGTATAGATACCTATTTTCCTTGTGTTATTATATAGTTTGAACTTTTTATATCATAATAAAACTATATCTACATATTTATAAAGAATTGTATTCTATTTACCCAAGGGAATAAAAAAATTGCATAGCAGATGGATTATGTTTAAGAACAGTCAGAACTACTTTACGCATTTTGTTTTTTGATGCCATGGATTCAAGTGCAGACATCATAAAATGGCCAAGTCCTTTTCGTCGTACTGCAGATTCCAATTGTATTTCATAACTTAAAAATAGAAGAAAAGATATAAAATGAAGTTGATCATCTTCTGTAACTTGTAAACTAATGACTAAAATCTACATACCAATACAGTACTTCTTCCCTGTAATCTATATCAAACCGAAAATGAGAAAATCCAACAAATTTGTCATTGGAAGTTGCTACTAAATACCAAGCTGTTGGCTCTGTTAATTCTTTTTGCTTGGCAACTGGATCCCAACCCCAATCACTTTGTTCATATAAAGACTTCATATTACGCTCCATAATATCAAATATCCAAAAAATACATTTAGACTGTGCATCTTTGGCTTTTACACAAGAGAGCTCAATAATTTGATTATCTTTTGTCACATACTTATGGAAAAAATTTAGAGATTCTAAGGGATTTTCCACAGAATTTGCTTTATCAACCAAGCTTCTTGCAATAGCTTCTTTTTCAGCCAGAAGTTGACGCCTTGTTTTTCTTTTCTGTCAGAGATTAACTTAATACATATATATTGCAAACTAGAAATAATTATACATAAATAATGTACATAACGTTTTTAGAAAGTAAGATTAAAAATAAAATAACAAGGTTTTACTTAAAACAAGATTAAAAGTAACATTTATTTAACATAATAACTATATTAATATTTCAATTAATGTTTATAATAAAATCTAATGTAACTTGTATGTAATAACGTTAGAAATGTTCTTGAACAACAATAAAAATGTATCATGAAATTCTTACCTTCATAATAATTATATTTCCCGCGTGTATTGTGCAATATAATTTTAGGCTATATTCTTTCTTGTAACAATTACAGTATGAAATTGTATAATTCAGTTTATATAAGGTGAAAGTATCGAAATTATTCTATAATTTTAATATATTTTAATATATTTTTAATTTGTCGGAACATACATAATATTCTTTTACTCGATGTACGCAATAAATCTTGAATTACGAACAAAAATAGGTGTCTTCATTTTATTGCAAAAAATTAAATGTTACATTTGATACATATTGTGTATAATAAAATGAAGTACAAAACAGTTCCGTGGGAAGATTCACACATATAGTCTGTTACAGTAACAGCTTGTATGATTCAACAGTACCAAAAGTTCATATGTTTCGCTTTAAATCAACTTATTGAAAGGATTGAATGTGTAGTATAAGGTGCAAGAGTGGTATTGTGTGTTACTGTACGACCAAGCACCGTGCATGTGTAATGCTCTTGTATTAACTTAAAAAAAAAGACATTTTAGAAGAAGAAAACTACAAATTTGTTGATAAAATATCTTTATATGTATATATATACATAACTATATTATTCCAAGTGATTATATACATCGTCTATAAAAATACGAATTTTGACATCTTAGATTAATTGGAGACAGTTCAATTGGTTCAATGCATGTTGTATTTTATTGTTAGTATCCACACGAAATATCTATATTTTATTATTTACTATAAATTTGTAATTATATTGCACGTGTTTTCGTTTAATTCTTTATGTTTATATTACAATCACCGTGGTTAAGTAATACAATCACCTATCATATATTCTTTTGTTTTCTTTGTATTCATTACTTCAATATGTACATATATATACACATGTTGATTAAAGATAAACTTATTAATAGAAAGTGCATGCAATAAAATTTAATATGTATCATCTTTTTTTTTAATATTTTATGTTTATATTCATGTATCTTTGAAAATGGACAATATATATCTTCAATAATTATTATTATTTTATTTCAGATAGTGCAGTAAAATATTGAGGAATGGCTGAAAATACTACTGCATCGAATGCAGAGGAAAAAACTATTTCCTCGGCTATGACACAGTGTTATGAGAATTATATTATAGTCGATGTTGGTGCCAATCTTACTAATAAAAAGTATAGCAGAGATTTAGATAGTGTAATTCAAAGAGCAAAGGATGCAGGAGTACAAAAGATTATGGTAACAGGCGCAAGTATCCGTTCTAGTAAAGAAGCATTAAGATTAACTAGGATATATCCTGGTACTCTTTATTCCACCGCTGGTGTGCATCCTCATGATGCAAAATCATGGGAAAATCCTGACACTTTACAAGAACTTGAAAGCATAGCTAATAATCCAGAATGTGTAGCAATAGGGGAATGCGGTTTAGATTATAGTCGTGACTTTTCTGACCCTGAGACACAACGTGCTGTATTTCACAAACAAGTGGAACTTGCATGTCAATTAACTAAGCCACTTATAATACATGAAAGAGGTGCTCAGACAGACGTTCTAGAAGTTCTGAATCACTATAAAAGTTGCTTACCACCAGTCTTAATCCATTCATTTATTGGAACTGCAAAGGAAGCACAAATTTATTTAGATCATGGTTTTTACCTAGGAATTACAGGATATTTGTGTAAAGATAAATCTGATAGTGGAATAAGACAGCTATTAGAAAAAAGACTTGCACCTTTAGACAGAATATTAGTAGAAACAGATGCTCCATTCATGTATCCTAATACTAGAGCCAGTAAATTACCTGTACACGTTAAAGATGCTCTAACTGAACGATCCATGACATTTCTTCATCGTTATTGTACTTTCCAGCGTAATGAACCATGTGCCTTACCAGCAATAGTAGAAATGGTAGCAGCATTTATGCAAATTACCCCAGAAGAAGTTGCCTTAGCTACTGCTTTCAATGCTTTAAAATTATTTGGTCTAAATCAGTGATATTAATGATCATTTTTTATTAAAAAATGGTGCTACTGGGTGCTATTTGATATTTTAATTGTTCTATTATCAATATATTCTCTTTCTATATTTAAAAGCATTATTTGTGTTTTTCTAAATATGTCTTTCATAACAATTTCAAGTTACACATACACATATACACACGCGCGAACACACACACACACACACACACACACAAAGCTTATCAACAATTGTAGAAGAATAAGTATATCATAAAACTTTGTTTATACATTAATGATTATTATCGTCAGAATATATGTTACTTATATTTATATTATTTTTATGCAAAAATATTCATCAATGCATATAAAATATTTTACCTACAATATAATAAAAATTTTGTAGAGATATGTATGAAATATATAGAATCTGAAATCATACATTTTAATTGTTGATGTTATAAATATTTTCATATAAATAAATTGTTACATAAATGAAAAATTCATTGTAAACATTTTTCTAAATTTAAAAAAAAATCCCAATTTTAATAACATTAATAACATTTTTTATTTTTGTTAAAAATAATTTGCTTTAATATATTACTAAAATATATTTTAAAATATTTATTTAAAGTTAAAAAATGTCACTATGAAGTATGAAAAATGACTGTTTCTTATTTTTAAGAATATTTTACATTTTATTTTTTTTACAAATTTATGAATTACTATCATTTTTAATTTTACTGCTTCAATTTTATGATATTCTGAATATGTAATATCCTTTCTTCATTGGAAAACTGTCTCCACAAATATGGATTTATAACAAAGGAATGGAATCCTGACAATGTTTCTATTGCTTTTAATTGTATTTTGACTGTAGATAATAAATTCCTTTTGTTAATAGAATATGCCTTTATTGGAAAAGCAAAAAAGAGAATTCTGTAACAAAATAAGTATCACATATATCATAGATATTTAAATAATTTATTATTATTATTTGATTAATAGATTAAATATTAAGTTGCTTTAATATTATTTCTTACTTGCTACATTCTGATAGTGATACTAGCTCTTCAACAAATATAATGTTATCATAATTACTGATATTCATAAAAGAGCCATCTGGTTGTATGACAACAACATAATCTGAAATAATAAAATTTAAAAGTTTAAACCTAAAGATCATTGTTATTAGTGTTCAATTATAAATATTCATAAGTTGTTTTACCAACAAATTCGCCAAATTTTGTTTTTAAACCACTTTTCATATATTCAATACCTCCAACAACTTCTTTTAAACTATTCATTAAATAAGGTACTTCGTAATACTCATGTTCCATTTTAATTTGGTTTAATTTATTTTCATCTGGCATAAATCCTTTATATTCAGGATAAAGTAGTTTAACACACCAATATAATCTTAATATAGTTAATGTAATATCTTTTCCAAAAAGAACTGAATTTTTTTCATAAAAGAATTTATTATATAATGTGAAAGCCTTTTCTATTAATTCTGGATGATAAGAGTTTAGTGAAAGTAAACAAAAAACAGTAAATACTGTATTATATATTGAACAGTCTAAATTGATCATAAAATTTTGTAACATTCTGCTTACTACAGTTTCCCAATTGTTTGGCATATAATCAGCAATAATAAAACCTTTAATAAATGTATCTATATCATTGATAGAACATCTTTCTAATATATTTATATCTTTAAGACATTTTTCTATTAAACAATCTAATAATGAAATATTGCTATAATGCATATTATTTAAATGCTTTAATATGATTAAATTTTGGTGGAAAGTAATATTGCTGCTTAATACAAAAGATAATTGAGAACATAATTTATCTATTAGTTTTTCATTATAGAATTCCATTTCTCTAGAAAAAAAAGAAACATTCGAAATAATAGAAATGTTTGTATTATACAAGTAATTTTAATTATATAATACTTACGAGTCCAAAACCTTTTTAGAAATACAACGAAGTAAATATTCAATTTTATCAAAATTTAACATTCTATAATTAGTTAGTATCATGTTTTGTATATAAATCAAAAGTTGTTTAGAGAATGAATCCAATTTTGGTAAACTATATATTGCATCAAAAATTGTTATTACATTATTTAAATTTATTTTTTCATGATTATTACATAAAATCATAAGTATTTGTCTTTTTACTTTGAAATCATTGATCATAGAACAAAACTTAAGTACTTGCAACAAATTGGTACTATCAGAATTAAGTTCTATTTCAGCTTGGTGTTTAAAAACATGACGTAATGCATGAAGTAAAGATTCAGACAAAGGTGAGGTTTTTTCTATTTTGTATAACATATTATATAGAATCATTATTTGTCCAACTGTTAAATTATTCAAGGAAACGCGTATCATTTGAAAGAGTGATTGTATTAATAGACTGTCAGTTGGAACATTGAAAAATAATAAAACTTGTAAAATATTTATAGTATCATATCTGCTTAAAGATTTGATATCTTTCAATATCACTTTGCAGATATTTTCAAATACTTCAGAATTTGTGACGATCTTAGGATCCAATTTTTTACTCTTTTGGAAGTTTTCGTATAAAGCATTGACAGCTTTAACAGCAACTTTTGCATTTATGTTCTTATAATCCTGTTCAATATTTCTCATAATAATTTCAATATCCAAAATCTCATTATTTTTCAGTAAATTTTTAGCAACTGGAACACCTGCAAAATGTATGATATATATATATATATTATATGTAATATATAAATATTATAAAAACAATTTTTTAGCTTCTTACCATAGTTTGATACTGTACTAAAATTTGATGTAATAGTCCATTTAAGGAACATTCTTAAATCTGTTTTACTAATTAATTTTCTAACAACCTTATTCATTGTATACATATCTTTTACTCATTATAAAAAAAATTTGTGACAATTTAGGCATCTAAAAGTATAAATTAATCATTAATATGAAATACTGTAAGAACATACCAGAGGATATGTTTTGGTTAATCTAACCTGATTGATTTTTAATGATTTATAAAATATAGTCAATTATATATCATTTTAGTAATAATGGAAAATTATTTTTTAATATGATATTATTTTTAAATAATAACAAATTACGAGATATCTTAACTCTTAGTGTATGTGTGTGTGTATGTGTGTGTATATATATATATATAAACTTTTCTTAAATCAAACTTCATTATCATAAAGGTTAGTTGTCAACATATGCATGATGTATGGCTGAAATGTTTTGTGCACTGTTTATTTTTTACAGTAAGTAGATTTTAAAAAGATGTCAAGAGAAGAAAAAACGTTAGAGTTAAAAAAATGCATTTTATCAAAATTATGGTATACATCTCTTATTATTTACCAAAGAAATGATGATAAATCTATTTTTTCACAATACAGCAATAATGCTGTAGATTTTGTTGAATCAGACACTCTAATCACAGATTTAATGTAAGTATAATGAAATTTTATATGTTAAACTTGTTTTATTCTATATTTATATTAAAAAATATTTGCTAAAATTTGTTAAAAAATATTGTAAAATAAATTTTACAATATATGTACTTAAAACTATCTGAATATTTTTTTCAAATATTTAATACAAGTAATAATTTTTTTTATTACATATTTCTTTAGTCATTCTCAGACTGAAAATCAGCACCAATGGATAACTTATACATTGTTACATAAACTTTTTAATAATATGTATAAGAAAACAACAAAACATGTAGAAAAACAACAAAATTATATTCAAATGATATATGCTTTGCGATTATATAAAAATGTAACAATACATTTACAACAGGTATTTGAATTAATGTATATAAATTCATTTTGTAGTTTCATAATCTATATATTTGCATCTATGCATTTTACAGGAATTATTAACGATTTATAAAAATACCTTACAACAAATAAATTCAGAAGGTTTTGAAGAAATACAGAATAAATATTTTATACTTTTGAAACAAAACGTTTATAATAATCCATTTGTTACATGTTGGATTCTTAATGAATTATTGTTAACTTATTCTGAAACATCAGCTAATATTATTTGTACTTTACAAGATTTTTATTTTTTACTGCTAAAAGAATTAATGGAATTTGAATTATCTAAACAGAGATTGATCAGTGACAATTATTTTGGATGTATATTATGTATTATATCAAAAATGAATATTATTAAGTTTAATGATTCTACATTGCCAGAATGGTTTTTCCCTATGATATTGAAGACAAAAGATATTCAAGATATTGAATTTGCGTTGTATTCAAGGACAAATCATCAATTTTTTAAAAAATGGTGTACTTTTCTTAGTGAGTTTTATGTACATTCCAAATTTAATAACAATTTGAATTATATATTAAGAATTCGGAAAATATTATTCCATTTCTCTTCTACGTCTGCCACTACTTTAAATAAAAATAATCTTATACAAAGAATAAATAATACCAAATTACATTGGATCACAGATATTTTGGTAGGTGACACTCTATAAATTTCTGTATAAAATCTTATAAAATATTTGTATCTAATATTGTTATTTTTTAGGACATGTGTTACATTTTAATGATAAATGAACTATATGATGATGTATCATTAATATTATCTTGTACATTATTAAAACAATTTTGGCCAGCTTTATTATTTAAAGTTTTGTATGAATATTCACAAGAAGAAATATTTTTAAATGATACAGAAAAAGATTTTGATTTCATATGTAATTCAGTCAAATTTTTAATACCTAAATGTAATTTTGATGTATTATGTGATCCTGCATTGAATGAATTACAAAATATACTATGGAAAAATGTGAAAATTTTAAAATACATCTTAAGTTTTATAAGAGATGTTAAAACAGATGATTTAAATCAAATTCAAGTTTATGAGACACCAAAGATAACTAACGTTGAACAAAAAATTTCTACAAAGCGGATATTCGATCTTTTACAACATTTTGATACTCTTTTAGTTCTAAAAATGACGACAAACATATGTGAACAAAATTGTGAAAAAATAAGAAATTTATTAAAAGATATTTGCGAACCAGAAAATGTTTTCATAGCATATTATAGTGTTATAAGTGCTTTAAAGGCAATTTTGTTGTGCAATAATTATGACACAAGGCAATCTATTATATCAAAATACTTTTCTGATATGGATCATTACATAAAGATATTATTTCCACTTACTCTACGTATGCAAATAATAAAAGATATATTTTGTTTACTTTTTTTACGATATGAAGACTTCGATCATAATTCAAAAAATTATGATACACATGAACAACTAAAATTTGAAAATAAATGGATGAAGCAACAGTTAGGAGGTTTTATTTGTAATAAATATGCTGTGAGAGACATATTATTTCACTTGGTAGATATTATGTTAGCAACAGAAATTGCAGTCAGAGAAATGAAAAATAAAAATGAATGTACAGAAGAGATGGAACAAATTCAAAAAGATATTGCTTCTATCAATTCAGCAATATTAGATGCTAGATGGAGACTTGAACTTTATACAACTTTGGAATTTATTAAAAATATTGATATGAAAGATGAAAATAAAAATTACTCATCCAAGTTTAAAACTAAACATTTATTAGATGGAAAGTTAATTTCTAATCGTCCTACAGAAAACATATTTTTTTATCAGGATGGTAATGTTTTGAATGAAACAAAAACAAGATCTAATAGTAGTTCTGAATCAGAACTAGTACATAATACTAAATGGCGAAAACGTACAAAAAATGTATCATTAACAACAGATGATAAAATAACTAAAGATGTTACTCATAAACCATTGTTTGTAAATTTTATGCTAGCAACAAAAGAAAGCTTAATTATTAGATGTTTATGGAAAAATGATTATGCAAAAGCACAAGATATCATAGAGGTAATCCAAATAGTATAATATATTTATATATTTTTTATTTCAGCCCCCAATTTTTCATATATATCTTCTTCAAATATAGTAGGTTCATATGTAATAGGTTCTCTTTCTTCTTCTTTTTTTATTTGGATTTGTCTGAGTACACCAGGAGGATTATTTGCATAATATTGTTTTGCAAATAATATTCTTTTTTTTGGAAAACAAAATTTAAAACGGAAACACCAACAACACCAGCCTGTAGAATAATAGATATTCATGTATTTGAAATTATTTTTACTTAATGAAATCTTTAATAATATAATTTACCTTTATGACACCAACAAGGAATTGCAACACATACATAAATCAGAAACCAAACTTTAATAATTAGATATATTTTCTGTAGTAGTCTTTTAACAATAGGTTTATCTTTCTGTTGTTCATAATTGTATATTAAACAATTTAATGGTTTAATATTAAATTCTCCAGTTATGTTTGTACAATTTTTAAAATCAATTAACTTTTCTAATACTTCCTTAGGATGTTCCTTTAGTTTTTCCTCGTCGGTAAAATTTACAGTTTTATTAGAATATATATATTTTTCTATTTGTTCTTCATATTCTTTTTTGAACTGATTATAATCATAAGCCTCTTCACCTGGTTCTGTATCAGTATATTTAGTATCTTCTTCCTCTACAAACATGTTGTTTGTAGAAATTGATCTTTTATTTTTATTGATATTAGAAACAATATTAGTTATTTTTGAAAAAGAAAAATTATTTTGTTTATCATATTTTCTTCGAAACAATTCCTTATATAAATCTTGAATGTTTGCCTTTTATAATCTGAAAGTAAATATTAATGGAGCTACATTTTATCACCATCTATTGTTTATCAATTATTAGTAAACACTTTGTCAAGATCTTCTTTAAAACCAGCGATAAATGGAATATTATTTTCCTCTACATTATAAGTTTCCCATGTATTTGATTCTGGATGAAAGAATATATTTGTATACTGTATTTTATTCATAATTTCACGTTTATTATAATTGTCTACATATGAATGTAGTGGTTCATATCTACTTTCATTTTCTGTATAAAGGTTTAAATTCATTAAATCCTTAGATTTTATCATTTCATTTTCACTTTCTTCATCATAATCCTTATTATCAGATGCAATCTCAAATACTTTCTTATCTTGTGAATTGATCTATGCAGAAAAAGATTAATAAAAAAAAGAAAAATCATAATAATATCAATTATAATAAAATATCAATACTTAACTCTATGCAGTGGTAACGATGAAACAGAAGTAGCCCATAACAACCATATAGTTAACATTTTTGGAGATAACATATTTGATTAATGTTTATATTAATATATTCTTATTTTCAAGATATACAATATGAAGAATACTCAGCTAAATGGGGAAGTGCAATTTTCCAAAGCATTACACGCATTTAGAGAAAATGTATATCAACAAGCCGACACATTGAAAAATGAAAATCAATCTCCAGAAAACTTGCAATCTTCTACATTAGAGGTATATTGTAACAATTAATTAATATTAGCATAAGAATATAGAGCAGTATTTCATCTTGCAGTTATTATATTTTACAGAATATAAGGCTAGTTACACAAGAGAGTATAAATTCCTCTAGACAAACTAGTCAATTTGAAACTTTTTTGGTATCTCAAGAAATAAATTTGCGAATACTTTCTACAGAAATTCTTAACGATAACGAAATATTAACAATGAGTGCATTAGATTTGGCTATAACCATGAGTCAAATTTACCCAATTTCACAGAATCTTTGTGAAATTGCAATGAAATATCTAAAGTTATGTAAAACATTTGACAATACTGAATATGTATATTTCTTTCATAAATTTTGTCAATTGTTATATGAAAAGAAAGATATGGTTTCTATAGAGGATATACTCTATGATGCAAAAATTGCTTTATGCATAAAAGAATGTAAAGAAAAGGATATCTTTTGGACTGATATTATGATTAATCATCATGAATTTAAAGAATCACAGGCAAATAAAGATACAATCAATAGAATATTAAAAGATAGTAATTATTTATCTGGTTTTAAAATACTTAGCAAAATAATAACAGTTGCTTATGGATCTAAAAAATATATGCAAAATATGTGTTCTCACTTACAACTTTTACACTCAATTATTCCAACTGAGCATACGATATTTACAATTTCTGATTTATTAAAAATTCCATTACATTATTATTTTGGTTATCAAATATTTGAACTTAAAGTTGAACCACAAAAGCTTGAAGCAATTGCGCATGATTTGCAAATTAATTTATCATATAGTATTCTTACCAATGCTTGTCCTAAATTTTTGTATGAAGAGGATACAAATATTGTCACTAATAAAGAAAATGGATGCATTGTTTTGAACAAAGCTTTGAATAAAGCGGTATGTATCAAAAATTTTCAGAATTTTACATAATAAATTAGAGAAACTAAATATTAATAATATTTTAATTTATAGGATTTAAGTTACAAACTTCAAGGGCCAAATCAATGTGTTTCAGAGATATTATCAGAAATTTTGCAAATTTTGCACGACTTAAACTTGAATCAGTCTCGTTTAAATCCTGATGTTTGTAAAACTATTTCAAACTATTCTGAAATTCAATCTGTATTAAGAAAAACATCACGTCTTGCAAGCTTAGATTTGAGTGAGTTATCTATGGGTGATGAAACATTAATATTTCTTTTGAATACATGGAATTTGATGTTTCTGCACACCACTTTAACTGTTTGGGGAAATCATCCACCTTTTAACAGTTTACAACATGCCATTTCTTTAATGTCAATTGGTTATTTAATTGGTGATTTGGGTCTAGTAACACTTGCTGCACTTAGATCAAAATTGTTAAATAATATAATGTTAGATAATAAATTCTTTATACAAGTTGAAGAACTTAATGAACCAGCATGGCAAGATTTGGACATTATTCATGATCCAAGAGTAATTTTCGTAATGGCTAATGAATTTTTAGGGACACCACGTATACAAGTAAGCTTTTTCTTGTAAATTATTTATTGATAATATTTATGTATTTATATAGTTTTATCAACATTTATATTTATAGGTTTGTAACACAAAATCATTAGATGAAGATTTAACAAATGCTTTCCATGAATATCTAAATTATTACTCTTGTGAAGAATCGACTCAAAGTACAGAAATACAAAAGATAATATTACTCCCAAAAATTGTAGAACAATATCAAATTTCTATTTCGCAGAGTTCGAAAAATAATTCAAGTAGCAACAGTGGAACTCTATTTTCAATAAATGATTATTTTAAATCCTTTAATGAAGATGTGACTATAGAGTATATGCCACTTTCTTACTCGTATAATGTAATATTAAAATATTCAAATTATTCCAATACATTAATACATTATTCCAATAAACAAATTAATCAATGTAAGATTAGTTGGAAAAATTATAGTATAAGATCAAATTTATTACAATACCTAGAAAGTCAATGTTGGGTTGTTTCTTATCTTTTGCAAAGGATAAATAATGAAAATCCTACTATTTTAAAAAACAGCTGTGATAACTTGAAATGTACTGCATGCCTTGAAAATCTTTTAACATCAAAGGAAGCAAAGGAACTGAAATTATTATTTGATAATAATCAGACTCTGGCAGTCATTTTCGAGGCGATATCGACACAAAAACTATGGTCTCATTTTGAGTTTATGTTAAAAGGAGATGAATGGGACTCTTGTTTGAGACTTGTAAATGCTTTACCAGCTCATATTACATTAAATAGTGAGTTGCAATGTTTCAGAGATAAAGTTCTCAGCCACATCATTTCAAAACAGAATACTGCATTTAATACACAAATATTGGAATATTTATATCAAATCAAAGATGTATATATATTAAGTCAGACGGTATTGTACAATGTTAATAAGTGGCATATAAATATTTGTGAAAATGCATTACTTTATACAGTACATCACGTAGATAATTACAAATTACCCATACACTGTAAATCACAATTGAACGAAATCTTACACAGAGTGTTAATTTTCCATAAAATGCTCCCATATTGTATAATTAAATCCAATGAAACTTGGTATGATATTGCTTATTGTACAGAAAAAGTTAACCCATTGCAAATTATCAAATCACTGATCAATGCAGATAAATTTGAATTCTGTTTAGAATGGATGGAATGTCAAGCATTTTCTTTAGAAATACATCCGTCTGTAACACAAGATTTCTTAATTGGTCTTTTAAGAAGTGAATCTCAAAATTTTAAACAAACTTTAAAGGTAAGATATCAAAATTAATATTATAAGTAATAATATCAATAATGTATCATTTTTTCTAGTTTTTTCAGGCTTTACCTTTAGATCAGTCAGTTAAACTCAGCAAAACGGTTTTAAAGAAATTAGAGTCTATTGACTCATTGAGATTTATTTGCACTTATTTATTACAGTATTGTAAAGCAACAGAAACTATAAAATATAGACAAACTTTACTAGGAATTGACATTTTAAGTATGCTAAGTATCCAAGAGAGACCATTATATATTCATCTTATTAAAGAGCCATTATTAATGTTGGAACAGTTGCTAATGAATTGCAAATTTGAAAATATTCAAAGGATATTAAATAGAATTCAAGAGAAATTAGATCAAACGAATATGTCAAGAAGTAACTTTGACAAAATTATAAGATTCTATGCCCAAAAGTCATTGGACTGTCGCGTATCTTTACAATGTGAATCTATTGAAAATAAGTCAAAAAATGTGCAAAATTCTGCTTCAGAAGTAGAAAATGCTGAGTTTATTATGCCTATAGTAGTTCCTACCAAAGAACAATGGATACCTAATGATAAGGTATTTAAAAATTATGTGCATTTATTTTTTTTTATCATTACTGTCTTGTTAATTTGTAATGTTTGAGATTGATTGGGAGCTAAATACATTTTGTTTAATAGGCCAGGGAATGTAGTTGTTGCAAAAACGTCATATTTTCGATGTTTAATAGACGACATCATTGTCGTAGATGTGGTCGTGTTATTTGTGCAACATGTTCTCAGCATCGCATGCAAGTATCTGGTTATCCACCCTCTGTACTTGTTCGCGTATGCAACGACTGTAAACAACAGACTGCATTACAAATGCATACTTTTCAAGGAGCACAGTCCACTTCAAGTAGTGAAATATTTGATTATTGGCGATTGACAAGAGACCAGAAACATAATGAAACTATCAGAGAAGAATTTTCATTTGAATATGCTCCAAATATTTCTTTATGTTTAGCTATTTTAAATTTACATTCCGAACATCAAACATACATCAGGTAATGATAATTTATAGATATCATTTAATACAACTTTCATGTGAAGACATTTAACAAAATGTATATTTGTAGTTTTCTGTTGGATTGTTGTGACGAAATGAAACGTCTTTTACAACCAGTTAGTGGTGGAAAAGTAAATCCTGAAGTTGACCACATGGTTATTATTAAAATGATACGTTCTTTACTAGTAGCTGCGAAAGTTAAATGCGCCAAGCTTGGTCTCAATACCGGATTAGTTCATTGCGATCGTTTCCTATCGCAAGTGGATCTTATTGCAAGTCTTGTTCAATTTGATTGCTTACATTTAATACCGTCTGATAATCTACATGATCGTACTTTAAGAAAATTGAGAGATCTTTTAATTGAAAAAGAACAATGGACACTTGCTTTAGATATAAGTACCAAAGCAGGTCTGGATACACACGGAGTTTGGGCAAGTTGGGGTAAAGCATGTTTAAAAATGGGATATTTTGATCAAGCACGAGAAAAATTTTTTCATTGCCTTGATAAAATACAGTCCGAAAATTTTGACGATTGGGTAATTCTGTCATATCCAAAGGAATCGGAAATTCCAAGCGAAAGTGAAACTCAAAAGTTAATAAACGAAAGTGATAAGAACAAAGAAATTAAAATGGACGAATTGAATTCAAAGAGGGCAGAATTTTCAAAATATCGCCCATTAAAAGACCCACCATTACTTATAGATATCTTACAAATATTGGACAATTTGAGCATATACGCACAGATTCCTCATCAGTATAAGTTCAATACCTCGCAAGAAATGTTAAATTTTGAAAGTTTTAAAATTTCCAGTCAAAGACAGCTTAGTGGTAAAAATACATCTGCAACGGCACGAAATATTTACTATCATGAAAGTATTTATTATTTATCAACTTATGGAAGTTATAACTCAATTTTGGAATTTTTCTTAAAACATGAGGAATTTGATAAATGTCTTACCTTTACTTTGGAAAATAATTTAGAACCCGACTTATTTTTCAATTCAATTTATTTATATTGTTTAAAAAATGGAAGCATTGACAGACTTCATGAAGCAATGATAAATAAGGATTCAAACTTACTAATTTGGAAAAAATACCTAATATATATTTGTCACAATTTAGAAAAAAGGCAATATTTGAATATTTTATATCATTTGCAACTTTTTATGAAAGATTTTATACGCGCTGCAATGACTTGTATCCGTTTTTATCTTAATAACGTAAGTAACTATTCAGATTTAAATGCAAAAGTGACTTTCTTACTCGACGCCCAAAAGCATTTGGAATCTGAATTGCAAATTGAGACTTTAAATCATAAAAAAAAACGAAGAGGTTCTGTGCATAGTAATCAAGGAATTCTAATCATGGAAATGGAACCATCAGAGATAGATAAACACATAAATACAATTTCTCGACAAATGGAAATCACAAAGTTTCTGACAAACTGTGAAAAGGAGGGAAGAGCTCCCATTCAATTTTTAAACCTGTTCCCAAAAAAGGACTTTAATAGTTCATCTAATTTAGAAATACCAACTTTATTTGGTGATCAACAACAGAAAATCAACTTAGCTGTTTTAGCCATTCTGTGCGGACAAAACATTGAAGAAGGATTTGGCATAGCATTCAGAATAATGCAAGGTCTTTCAATTTATATATAGTTTATACTATGTAAATACTTTGCAACTTGTTTATCTAAACAATGCTATTATTCCAGATTATAATTTATCACAGCAAAAAGTGTATTCTTTAACTGGTCACATTTTGGCAGAGAAAAACAATATTTCTGCAATAGAACAATTAATCAAATGTTGTCATACATCTGGAATTGCAAATTCATACATTATTTCAGATCATGTATTAACTCATTGTGTAAAGTTGTTGTTAACTCATTTACATGATGGAACTAACTCACTTTTAAAGAATGATATTTACAATCTTATTAAATTAATAACCAATATTGATCTTAAAGTAAGATAAAAGATTATATATGTACATATATATAATTTTTTGAATTTTTGCAATGGAATTTTTTAACCTTTTTGTTTTCAGATAAACGCGTATATCGAATGCAAGCAATTAAAAGCAGCATATCTATTAGCCGTCAAATATTCAAGGGCACAAGATATAAGAAAAATCTTGAAAGAATCTGATAGACTTGGTCAAAATGCTATTAAAGCAATATGTATAAAATGGCTCCAACAAGAGCCAAAATTATAATTTTAGGGTAGCAAGACTAAGTAAAAGTGCAATATTTCTCTTTTTCTTTTTTTTTTTTTTTTTTTTTTTTTTAAAATAAAAAAGGGAAAAAATTTTTTTTTTTTTTTTTTTTTTTTTTATTAAAATAGAATATTTTTATAAAAATTTCCATAGAATATTTTTAAAAAACTTTATTTTTAAGTATTATAAATGTTTTTAAAGTAACATACAAAAAGATTTATATATTTTTAATAATACTTCCATTTTTTATCTTGTAATTAAAACAAGATTTAATTTTTAATAATTTGATCATGATTGTATTAAATAAACGTATAATATAATCTATAGGAAGAGAATTTTGTAATGAAGTTAAAGAAATTTATTATTAAAATATATGAATGATAATAAATAGTATTTGACAAATTAACATCTATTTTATAAGTATAAAATATCATATACTTTCAAAATAATAGGTTTTTCCATAATTTTTAATTATTATAACTATATATGGAATAGGACAATAAAAATTAATTTGCTTATAAATAAAGAGAAAAAGTATATTTTAAAAATAGGTATATCGCAATAATTTTGGAATGTATATATGACTCTCGTCAAAGTATTGTAAAATATTTAAAACATTTCACAAAATTATTTTTCCCCATTATACATTTCGTTAAAATTTACATCAAATATAAATATTAAACTTACTGTTAAAATATTTTAATCATTATACTTTTTTCGTGAATATTTTTCTACCCTTAGAAATAATGTAAGTGTAAATCTTTCCTACAGATTTAAGATTATATATTCTAGGTTTATGCCTTTCCCTCTTCACTAACCAGCATCGACAGCTTCTCATCATATTTTTCTGCAAATGCAGCGTCTGTGTTTTTGATTGATAGAAGCAAAGAATCTTTCTCTTGTTGGGACCAATTGTGACTCCATTCCCGAAAAAGTTTCACACGACATTGAAATAGGCTTGGAGGCCTGTCAGACTCATTCGAATGACCTAAACTTTCCATTCTGGATACCAATCCATTAACAAGACCGGCAGGCCCGCATTGCTCAAGAAGTACATCCAAAAAGTCATTCCTTTGCATCTCTGACCATTCTTGAAACCATTCTATCATATAGCGTAGTTGAACTTCATTGGTCAGTATGGTAGACATGTTCTATCTTTAATAAAATTGCACAATGTTAATTGAACCATAATGAGACTGAAATATTGGTTAAAAAAAAAAAAAAAAAAAAAAAGGAAATATTGATACAATCCGCACTAATGGCATAATTAGCATTGTATAAAATGCCAATAACTACATAATATACAGTTAATTAATATGGTTGAAAATAGAAAAAATAAATTTAATAATAAAAAAAGTAATAAATTTACATGGTAAAAAAGATATATTTACCACTTGTTATTAACAATGTTCTCTCCGATTATTTTCTCTCAGGTTATTGTTTCTAATCTCTATTTACGAGCGCACGCGAGACCGTGACGATACATCATGGAAAAAAGAGCGAGTTAATGCAAGCGTAACGTTTAAATATTTCTTACAATTCTACAAAATTACTGATCGGTCAACTTAGATTTCTTAGGGTTAACAACTTCAACCTCGTCCTCGAAATCCGTATCGCTTTCCGACGTTAGCCGATCTAAAATTGACAAGGTATATCTATTAGCTATCTCTCGAGTTTTCAACCAAACGCTTGGGTTTTCACGCCTTTCGCTGACAATTCCTCCCGTTTACCTCGTGCATCAGCGGAACAACGTTGCTCCTCCACGAGGCTAGTTAAAAAATTGTTGACTTCGAGTCGCGTGTCTTTCAGACAAGAAATTAAGCTGCCCAGATTATTTGCATTCGACACCACGCTGTTGTTATTCTCGTAAATGCACTTGTCGGCGTTAAAAATTTTCACGTGCACGCTGGTATCGTTCATTTTGCCGGTGTATTTCCATTCGCGTGGCGGAAAATTTTCATAAGCGTCAATAAACGCTTGACACGAAGAAATGTTCGCAGTTTCTACAGATCAGAACTGTGCGTTGTGTTTCGTTGGATTTCATCCCAAAAGAAGTTCAACGTTAAACATAACAGAGTAATTACATTATGTAAGTTTAAGTATCCCTACTCTGAAATCATCGATAGAAATGTACGAAGCGTGGTAAATTTTCGATAAAAGCTCGTACGTTCGATCGTACTAGGTTAGGCGAGTGTCTTGTCGCCGACATGTGAATGCTCCTTAACGTTAAGTTTGTTACACGTTATATTGTTGCAGTACGTTGTCATTCGGAGAAACTGAATGATCGTTCATTGTCACGGCGAACGTGTGGACTACATTTGACAAAATCTTAAAAACATATGTTGGAATTAACAAAATGGTCCTACTGGAGAATGATGCGGTAATTTTTTTCGCTTATAAAACACGTTATCTGTTGGCTCTGTGGAGAAACGGGTGAGGCGATTTCTTTCACGAGAAAATTAATTTTAATTTTTAGTTTTTAGTAGAATTAACGCGACTTTTCGACAAATCTCGACTCTCTGGTTCCGTGGTACTTACTATCAAAAGGTGTAAGTATTTATATCGTTGTCTTATGTGAACATAGTTGGAACGATTAAGTTCAATAAACCATTAAGGAACTTCACCAAGTTTAGCAGAATTTTATTTGAAAAATGTCATCCTCAGTTAACGGACACAACAAGCCAGTACCAAGGGAAGGCAGGCCTCCATTACCAACACCGAGTGAATTTCTTTGTCTAGTGAGAGCTTCGTTGAAATCCAAAAAGATCTCTACTGTTGTACGTGTGATTTTATAAACGTATCTATATGTTTCATTATTTGTATCACTGTTAATGAAACTATATTAATATCATTTATTTCACATGAATGCCATATATTTCATTATTTGAATTGTTGTTCATTCATTTCACACTTACAGATACACTCTAAGGATGTGAATAAGTTCCAACAGGCGTATTGGAATTTGTTAAAGTCAAATATCAATGGTCTCAAGAAGCTAAAAAAGGTGAAATCTGCAAAGCCTAAAGTTCATTAATGTCGTGACAATTCACTATTTAATACACACACACATATATATATATAAAATTTTTTTGTATAATGTGAAATGTATTTTCCTTAATGTGTAATGTAATACTGCCTAAGAAATAAATTACACCCAACAAAATGTAAAACAAGAAAGTTCAATTTTCATTCAACACGGACGTGTTTAAGGAGTGATTGCAATCAATTCTGATTTTTTTTTTTAAGTACGTGATTTGTTGCCGTAAGAAAAAAGGAGTACGTAAGTTTACCAATCATCGATCGACAACGAGCAATTATCACAATACTAAATTCACGAGACTGTCAGATGAATAACAAAGTGACAAGTATAACTGAAATTTATATATGTACATTTTCATTTAATGAACATCCAATTTAACAGTTTGTTCCACTTTCGATAACGTCGTTTTCTACGGCAATTATTCATTTTCAAATATTACGCAACGATCGTCTTGTTTCCATTTATTCAGAAGTAAGTGACGAAAATTGACTTTCTCTAGCATGTATTTACACGCGTTTGAAAATCACTTTTAACCTGAACTTACGAACACCACTAGAAAGTGTGTTAACGCGAAAAATATGGAAGGTGTGCCCCTTGACATAGGCCATTTTGATGTGCGTTTGGGCTTGCAGGCATTGTTCCTCCAGGGGCAGATGGAACTAGCTGAGAAACTTGCAGCTTGCGGGCTAAACAATAATTGAGGAATTGTCGAGAATTCTGATCGACAGAATATTTTTATCGACGATTTTTAATTGAACTTGATATTGTTAATTTGCGAACGTGAGGTGTTTGAAGAACATTACAATCCACACGGTTACAGTAGCTCAATCGTAAGTTGCAATTGGAGTAAGATATTCGATTTTTGCTCAACACGAACGATAGTTTTGTGATTTTAGTTGTTGGGAACAGAACTGATGGAAGAAATAATGGGTATGTATCTGCTTTTTCTTTTCTCGAGTGAGAACAATATTTTTCACTTGTGTTGGTGATTATCGTTGGCGTCAACATCCGTCATTTCTGTTTTAGAAATCGTGAAAGTCGAGAATGCAGTATTCTTGGAAGACACGGCGTTAGAAAATCTATTTGGTAATCGTAATATTACGTCTGCGATGTAAGACAGTGATTTTTCGTAATAGCTATAACTGTTGATGCCTGATTTTTATAGATCCAGAAGACGTACAAGAAACTATTATAATGTCTGCTGAACAAGAAGAATCTACCGACGCAGAAGGTACGTATCATCAGAGATTATTGCTTTCTGATCAAATCTTTAGATTTGTGCATGGTTTCCGTTTTGCCTTTTTGTTGTCTTTCTTTTTGCCGTATTATTTTTTTGTTTATTATAGTCTTTTTTTTATTATTCTTTGCAGTTATTGCTCATGATGGTCAAATTATACAAATTATAACAGATTATGAATGTGTTACTTGCCATCGTATCTTTCAGTCGCAAGATGTAAGATTTTAACTACTTTATTTCTGCATAATCATTGTTATTAGTAACATTGTTAGAAAATTTCTTAAATGAATTTTACCAAAAATTCTGACGCAATCTTTTATTCTGACAGATGTTGAAGGAACATTTAGATATATGCAGAGAGGAAGATGACAGTAGCATATTGCAATTAAGACTTGAGAATTATGAATCAGAAGATGAAGAGGAGAAAGATAATAGCTCAGATTGTGTTAATAATTCTAATGCAGAAGGTATGTGTATTATGAACAATTTTGTTAAATCTGGCTCCAGGAAATTCCAGATAATGAAAGTAATTTGTTTCAGATGACAGTTCCAATAATAAGAAGAATAATAATGATAAGCCAGTGATTACGCCTGTACCTGATACGCAATGTCATTGCTGCGCCGAGGATTTGACCACTGCACATAGTGGTGGGGAATTTAAATGTCAGCATTGTAATCTATCGTTTAAAAAAAAGTCGTCTTTGGAAAGACACATTGTGGTAATTCATTGGCAGTGTGATTCGTGTACCTGTAAAGATTGTGGAGAATCATTTCGTGATAGAAAATCATTGAATAGACATCGTTATACAACTCACGCTGATAAGAAAATTTTCAGGTAAATGTATATATTTATACTGCCAGAACGAATGTTTTATTAAACACAACAATTTCAAAAATTTCAGATGCGAGCCCTGTGATACCTATTTTTCGCGGATGTATCATTTAAATCGTCACATAATGCAGTCAGGATGTCACGGAAATATTCTTAATACGTATAATTGTCAAGTAAGATCTTGTGCAACGTTCAAACTTTTGTATAAACAAAGTCAAGGAAGTAATTAATTGTTTATTTTTATTAGGTTTGCCAGAAAATGTTTACACGTAAAGATAATCTACGTGAACATCTACGAACACATGCTGGAACTCCTCAGAGACAGAAGAAGCCTTGTAAATATTGTCCTAAAGAATTCTTTACTAATCAACAATTGTTAATTCACGAACGTGTACACACAGGAGAACGACCAGTTCAGTGCGATTTATGCCCAAAATCTTTTCTATCTTCTCTTGCATTAAAAAAACACAGACGTGTACATACAGGAGAAAAACCATTTGAATGTCAATATGTAAGTATTGTACAAAATTCAATTTTAATAATAAGTCACTTCTCTTTCGTGATCAGTACTATGTTAATTATATAAATAATACATTTATTATTAATTATACAAATCTCGGTACGTTTCATAATGTTAATTTTATTGTACAATTTTTGCAATTGCAAGCAAGCGCTATATACAGGGAAATTAGTGTAAGTTTTTATCATAGAATGTATATAACTTGTAATGCCATACCTTTCTAATTAAAAGTTTAATTAATTAATTTATAGTATAAATATACTGTAAATTCGTTTTAACAATTTAATTATATTTTCGAATTATTTTAGTGTCAAAAGAAGTTTGCTGCTCGGGAAACTTTAAATCGTCATCAGAGAACTCACACCGGCGAGAAACCTCACGTTTGTCAATATTGTTCAAAATCATTTATTCAGGCCGCTCAATTGAGAGCACATATATTTCATCATACTGGTGAAAATGGATTTTATTGCGAAGTATGTGGAAAAGCATTTAGTAGAAAAGCTCGGTTGAATGTTCATAAAAAATTTGTTCACGAAGGAGCAACACCATTTACGTGTCAAATGTGTGAAAAGAAATTCATAAGAAAAGAAGATCTTGTTAAGCATGTAATACTTCATACAGGAGTTAAAGGTAATGAGATCATTATAATTTTGATATAATTTTAGTTAATTGTAGTAGATTTTAATATAATGTTAGTAAACTGTAGTATTGTCTTTGTTGCAGCTTATAAATGTGATAAATGTACGAAAGCATTTTCTACAAAATCTTCTTTGCAAGCTCATTTAAATACTCATAGACGAGAGCCACCACAATCTTGCGTCGAATGTAATAGGGTCTTCATACGCCAGGATTGTTTAATGAGGCATATTAAAGCAAAGCATCGTGCTCTGCTAGAAGAAGTGATGGACGAAGTCGAAAAAAAGAATTTGCAAACGCAATTATATAATATCGCCACAGTTGCTGCAGAAAGAACAAAGAATGGAGAGTCTACAAAATTGTCCACTAAGGAATTGCTAGAAGCTATCACCGACCTTTTGAAAATATTAATTGATGACGATACTCTTCAGGTATAAGTCAGAATAAGATGATATTTTACGACTGCAATAATTATGTTGTATCAGATAATATTTAATATAGATATATGTACACATATTTTACAGCTTTTTGGTTGGCCTGATGCTCCTATTGAAGATATCGTAGAAGCTGTAATTAGAAGGTGTGGACACGAACCGTTAACATCAGATTGTAAATTATCCTCTGATGAAAGATTAAGGGAAAATATAAAATGCTTGTTTATGGTTGTCATAGAAGATAATAGGGTAAAATCTCTTTTAACAAGAAACACGATAGACGATGTTATTGTACATGTTTTAAAACTTTCAAAAGAAACAAATTTATAGTTACGGAGAAGAACAAAATTATTTACATGTAAAGTATTCATCTTTTTTTTTTCCCAACTACCATTGAATGAATTTAAAAATTTAATTTCTCTTCTCTAAATATAAAGAAAAGAAATAATATCATTTTTATACATTTGCATTTCTGCAGAAAAAAGATACATTTTACTTATTGTTAGATCTAACATTGTTAATTCTTTAATGTCATATGAATCTTTTTATTAGAAAACCAATTATACCACATATATAATACACAAGTGTAATTATGGGTATGCCTATAAGTGTATCTGTAAGTAATTGTTATTAATCATGAATATAAATATTATATTATTAAGCATAAACATAAATAGATAAACATACATAGATTTCCCAACGTATGTTATTTGAAAGCAGTCTATTTTTTTTATAATATACATCATTTGTAAAATATAGTTGTGTATTATTTTATACTACTATTTCATACCCACACCTGTAAAATGTTATTATATAATACCAATAATAACTAAATAAATCCTGTCAACCAGCATACTTTTCACATGATTGAATTTACTTGATTTATGCCACCGAAACATTAGCATGGTAGTGAAATGATGGAACTAGTTGCTATTACTGTCTTTGTCTTGAATTAGTGCCTTCCCTTTTTATGAAGAAGTACTGTCACCTGTCGGCTCTCGTTACAACCTTCTATTTAAGTAACTTGCGATAGATGATAATACCGATTCATTTGATAAATAGCAACACCTTCGTAGAAAGAATGGCGACAGTGTGTGACAAAGCAACAACAGCGATTAATACCAACGCTTCACCGCTACGTGGCGCTAGCATTTTTTGTGTCCATAATTCAAATTCAATACACGTGAGCACTCGTAGTATTAATCCTGATTATGCTTTTTAATTAATAATGATATATATATTAAATAACGCGATAAGTATAAGAAGATGGTCGAGAAAATCACAAGCTTGTATTTGTTGAATTACTGAGGTTATATTTAAAATTTGTGTACAATCCTCATTCTCTTTTACCTTTCTTAACCTATCTAACTTTGCAGTTTCAAAAAGTTATTAAAAATTTCTATTTGTATTGATTTTTTAAGAACATTTTATATTTTAAGTAATATGTACAATAATGTTGTAATATATATCACATTGGTAGATATAATACATGTTATAATATACTTAATATTTTGTGCTTTATGTAATATATACATAGATTATATAGTGAGATTGAAAGAAGAGCATTATAATAGTGATACTCGTTTCTCAAGGACAGATGGAAAGGAAAAAGTCAACAAAAATGAAATGTGCGAAGATGGAATTAGAAGAAAACAATTTTGAGGATGATCAGTCCGATGACGTAAAGAGTGATGTTGAGGGTAATCCTGGATGGGCGGATGTTATGCAAAAAATTCTACAGACAAATAAGCCAAAACGTAAAAGGACAATAGTTCTGTCGAAAGCGAAGAAGTTGTGTGATATAAAGAAGAATGATGAGGAGGAACAGTTGCCATTTGAAATTGAGGAAGTGAAGAGAGAAATAAAAACAGAAGAATCGGAAGAAGTAGAAAACGATAACCAGAAGCCACTGTTAAAAGAAAGGAGGAAAGGAACTAAGTTAGGTATTAGAGTAAAGCCAAGTATGATGGATAGAGAGTATGAAAGGACATTACAAAAGATTGCTAAAAGGTAATAAAATGACTTTAAGAACAATAGGCAATGTGAAATTGTTTTTTTGTTCATTTAGAATAAATTATTGCTTGTCATTGCAGAGGGGTAGTGCAGTTTTTTAATGCAGTTAAGCAACAACAAGATGAAATTAATAAGAAATTATCAGATGCTGGCCCATCAGAAAGGAAACGTGAACAAGTATTGAAAAGTATTGATAAGACTGCGTTTTTGGATGTTCTTATGGGAGGAAGTAAGAGTATTTCAGTGGATAATGATGTAAAAAATGAAACACACAAAAATGAAAAGCATGAAAAGAAGAAAAAGGTATTTTAGATAGATGCTATTATATTCTAGGAAATATTTAGTGCTGATAAAGATGATAATATTTATATGTTTAATAGAAGACTAAGGAAATTTGGAATGTGCTGAGAGATGATTTTGTAATGGGAACAAAATTAAAGGATTGGGATCGTAAAAGTCAAGACGAAGATTCTTCAACACCTGAAAATTCAGACAGTGATGATTAAATTTTTCAGAATTTAATGATTAAGTCGTAAGAAATTATACTTTTTTAATAAATCAAATTTTAGCTTTTCTTTTTTGTGTTTTTAAAACTTTTTGGAATTGCTTTTCATTACCTAATAATATTTATATTATTTGAAAGAAAATATAGGATAAAAATGAAATTTTAATTTTTTATTAAATATTTTATTCATTAATAACTTTAATTTGATCTTATTTTCCTATGCAACAACAGTAATAATGTATATAGTGTATAATCCTTTAAGTAACTTATTATATGTTATAACACATACATGGCTCTATGCAAAATTAATTTTTATTGTATCTTATTTCTGTCATATAAATACAACATGGCAATAGTGCTACATAATATTTTTTGTAAAATAACATTATATGTCTTTTATGCATTTATGACACAATTTTTTTTTTTTAATAACATGTTTAAACTTAATCTAGGAGTTACATTTACACATAATCTGTACATAGGACTTGATGTGTCCAACAGTTATTCTATACACATATTACTTTTACATACTTTATGTTCATTGTTTTCTCGTGACATGTACAAATATAAATTATAAACTTCTTGCATCTAAGTCTGGATATCAGAAATCGTCGAATTATATTACGTTTTATATTAAAGTAATATAAAAAGCAAATATGTAATAAATAGTCTGTAGGATAGATTACTAATAACACGTAAAAAATATTTAAATTCATTTACGGCGGGCATTCCTTAATATTTACTGAATCTAGTGTGTAGATTAACCCTTGGACGGACTGAACTAACTTTATCTCATCGTTTCTCTTCCATTATTGTGCCACAATTAAATTGATTGTATCTTTCTGTATATAAAATTATTTTTAGAACTTTGAAGATTTAGTAATCTCTTAGGTCAGTTAAATTGTTTGTACACATATTTTAGGCTTTCGTAAACATTACAGTTATTTCTTTTTGCATTGTGTTCAAACAAATTTAAAACCCACAGAGGTTTAGAATTGATTTAAAAGATATCGAATCCCGGTTAAATTAAATAATATTAATTTCGATTGTACTGATCTGTTAAATTTTAATTCGCGACTTGATAGTTTACAGTCAACAAATCAAAGTATTACAATTAACTTCTATGAAAACAATTCGTTTTTTTAATAGATTATGCCTTCATTTTTATTGTATGTTTTTTTTACAGACTCTAACAACGTTTGGTCAAAGAGCTTTCTATTGATTGTTATAAATTCAGTGTTGTGTCTCACGTTAAACACGACTCTCACGAATGTCTGCTAATGCTCCAAAATTCCTGGTCTCCTCGTCAGAATAAACGGCCTCGTTTTCTAATCTGTGCGACCTATTGATAGCCTCGTCAGTGCTTTGGTTCCTAATGTAATATCCTATCGAGTTAGATTCCACATTCTGATTAGGTTCATCCGTCTGGTCATTTTCGGAACGTACGTTTCTCAGACTAGATTGATCCTCCTGGTTTGCTTGTACTCTTGATCTGTCGTTGTCACTAACGTTGCTGTACCAATTTTGTGGAGTATTGTTGCAATCCTCGGAACGAGATATCCGAACGAAAACCACCCCGTTCTCCTGAGTATCTCTCTGCGAATTCTCTATGTTATTTCTACTTTCTTGACTAGTTCTCGACATGCTACGAACGAGATTTCGCGTGTTCATCAACTCGTTCGCCGACGTTATGTTCCTCGATACTTCGTCGGCATTACTTGGGATTATTCTTTCGTTGTTTCGGATACTGTTGTCAGACAGGCAGTAATTGCCATTGTTCGATAGCGTGTCGTTCTGCGGGCGAGAATGTTCGTTCTCGTTTCCATTAACACTGTAAAACGACGTTTCATCCTGATAAGTTCTAAGTGTGTCGAAGTTCGCGTTGCTGAATACCCGCGGCACCATCTCCTGGCTCAATCGGTACAACTCTAACTCGTTGTCCACGTAGTAACTGTCGAGTGGATTGCTGATGATCGACGGATTCCTCGAGACGTTCCTACGTGGGAAGCTTTGACTCGAGAAATTCGTCACGGTCGCGTAAGGGTACGCTATTGTATTCATCGGATTGCCCAAAATGTGAGGGCAACCGTCCAGACTCTGCATCTCGATCTCTTCTTTGCCATCGTGGCAATAACCATGCATATCTATCTCGTGTGGAAGGTTGGCAAACCTGGCAATCAAGATTGTCAAGTTTATCAAGAAGAATTGATCGGAATTGTATTTGGAACTGAAGCTTACCTGTGTAGTAAGATGTCGGAGTACGACGGGGGCATGTCCGACTCTTCCTTGCCGTAGATACTCTCGTAAGTCGGTGGCGGGAAGCATCCAATGGATCCCAAACTATCTTTGCTTGGTGTTTCTGCGTCCATCTCGAGTATACTACCCTGACTGTTCTGCAGCTGATGTCGGATTATCCCTCGGGGGTTTCTTTGAGCGCGCAGCACGCTGTCGCCTAGCTCCACCAAATCTAAACCTGTACCAACAAGTACTGGTTCAAGACTCCATGATCTTTAATTATAATCAATTAAAGATTAATTATAATAAATCCCTAATTAATTATTAATAAAGATTAATTAATTATAATCAATTGAAGATTAATTACAATAAGTAACTTGATTCCTTATTACACAGGTTAATGTGCCAATCTTGTAATCTTACCAGTTGGATCGGTTTGGAACTGCGTAAAGATCGTACCATCGACAACGAGCATCCTCCCGTGCGGTAAAAGAATAATCGTCGGCGTTGCTACCATCGTTTGATCGTTGTTGCTGAATCGTGAATCCGGCTCTGGATCCTCGAGCCGGCAACAACAATGTCGTCGGCACAGCGACCGGCAGAACGGCGCGCCCCAACAGCAATAAGCGAATATGAAGCAGAGAACGGCGAGCATCACCAGAAGAGCGGCCACCCCCTGGCCTTGTTGAGCGGCCGCGAGGGTTGGACCGCCGGCGACGCCGACACCGACACCGACGCCGAATCCTAACCCACCGCTGCTGCTCATCTCCCCTGCAACACGATAATTTATTACTTTTTATCTTACTTGGCTCATTTTCAAGACAAGGATATTACCAATAATCATTCAAATAATCTAGATTCATAACATTTTAGTTTAAACAGCGATGGTAAATTAAAAATTTTTAAATATTTCACTTGACTGAAATATTCAAATAAAAAAAGAGTTGAAATATTTCGGGACGCCACTGTGAATTACGTACCCCGTTGGTAAATGAATTAGGAAGCTTGCGAGAATTTTCATCTTTGATTTTTTTCGCGAAGAAACTTTGAGACGAGCACGATAGATGGCTCGAATACTATCTTTTTGCAGCGAGATCTGTCGACTACATTTTTAAAGGGACAATTGCACGTTGATCGTAAATGTTTTTTTTTTTTCTTTCTTTTCCTTTTTGTGCGATAGACTTATTTCAATCCGCAATGCGGAGCAAGTAGCGATACTAGCATACGTGTACTTGGCAATAATCCAATCTTGTTCGATAAATTTTCAACGCGAACAGAATTTTACTCTCCCCTCCCCCTCCCGCTTCTAACGTTATTTTAAATTTTCATAATATCGTATATATTTTTTATTGTTTCTAGTATTGACTCGCGTGCCCTTGAAGATTATTATCTCCTCTTTATATTTTCTTATTTTTATCTATCTCTTATACAGGGTGAATACAAATGGAGGTTTATAACCTTTAGACAGAGGCCATGAAACATGAAAAAAAGTCTTAATAAACATGGGTCTGGAAAAAATTAGTAATTTCAAAGTTATAAACGATTTTTATGTTTACTATCTATCCTAGATGGTGTAAGCCCTTTTTTTTCTATTCACCCTGTATATACATGTATGTATGCGCGTTAAATGTCGTCGCGAGAGTCGATAAAAAGAATAAGAGAAATTGTAACGCTATGAGGCTAACGTTATAGTAATTGCGACACGTGCGAGCAACGATTTTGACTGAGTGTCGGGATACGCTCTCTCTTACGCTGACGAAATAAATTTTGTGTTTATCTGGCGGGAAATAAAGCAAGGTGAAAGTGATCTTCGGCGTGTCACCAGCCGGTTGTCAGGGACGAGCCGGTGATCTCAATATTTCTAATTTCGTAGATGTGGAAAGTTGGGATGTTGCGCAAGTTTCCCAAAGTAAAAGGTAAATTAACTGCAATTTCTCTCTAGTTGGGAAAAAACATTTTCGAGATTCTTCGATTCTTAAATTATTTCACAGTGTTCGATTATTTAAGCTTAACAAAATTAAGTAACAATACCCTGGGTAGTGATGTTGTACAGCCAAGTCGTCCCCGTAGTGGTTAGAGACTCCGCGATCTTGCGCGATCCGTACACCATGAAAATAATCTTCTCTGAACTCTTCACTCAAAAACTATCCTCTTCCTCCCTTACCAACAGTGTTTACACACAACGTGACTATGTTTACGGTCGTTGCACGTAACGTATCGCATCGCGCGACTTAAAGTTTCTATAACAATGCGAGAGGAACGTAGGTACAGTATAGTCGCGCAGCTTACACGTGATATGTCATTATTGGTTACTCGTTAATCAACACGATGATACATTAATTCTAATTCAGAAATTAAGTAAATTCAAATTATCAAACTCGTCGCGGGATTCAGTTTGAAGAGTATTCGTTGTTGTTGTTATTGTTGTTGTTAATGACATTGCAAGAAACGGCGACTGATGTGATTAATACAGCGTGGTCTCAACGAACTCGCAGGAGGAGAATCTCCTCACGAAGTCGAATAACGTACACTGTCATTGTACACTCTTGACCCATTTTAATATATCTCCCCACTTAGCATTAACCTGCTGCTTTTCGCGTCTTCGACGTCTCTATTTCTCGAATGAGAACGTTGTCATTTAGTTCGTAACGTATCTCGTTCTCCTTATCTCTCGGCCGTGTTCTCTCGATCCGCAAGTCGTAAAACAACTGCCACGGCTGAAGTTCTTACCGCCTGATCGGTTTCTCGCATCGACGGCACGTTAACTTTGATTTACGTTCCTTCATCGACGTCATTTTTCCTACCTTCGCTCTCGTCTTTCCTCCTTGCGTGCCTCGTAACGAGATTTGAGCCTTCTCATCGATCGAAAATTCAAATTTCCCGGAATTGTCCGCTGATCGATTTCATCAGACGCAGTGCGGCTTTTGAACAATGAAGCAACCAGCTCGACGGTTCATCTTGGACATTTCAGTTGCGTGACATTTGCCCATTCGTGTACATTAAATTGTACCGAACAATACACATTTTTTCTTTTTAATTAACGACGAGTAATATGTTTTTCTTTCGATTTAAGTTCAAAGAATGATCGTTCCCAGAAAATTTTTATTCACCTTGACTTGCGGATTTTGCTCGACTCCTCTTAGATCGAATCGTTGACATCCCTTCCGTTTTCTAACTTTGACGTCATTGACTGCAGATGAGGGCGCGCCATATTATTTACTGCCGATGCATTGCACATTCACGCAATTGGGTCTTCGATGCATATTCTTTTTACGTTGTTCAATTTCGACGCGACATCGCGAAACATATTCTTAAAATCGAATTCGTTTGATTTTTACAGCCATGACTGACCCATTCTTCGAGGCTGAGATCGGTCAGTTGTAAATTAAATCATTCGTTCGTAACAATAAATAAGGCTTAGAGACGATGTCGTACACATGATTCACGCACGTTATTATCGCACTCGGAGATAATGATCGTATACATGTATGATACGTAGCAAGTTTAAGTTTACTCAAGAAGTAAGTTTCACGTTAATCACTTTCTGGTCTCGGCTCGATATTTGCGTAGCATCACAACTTATATATAAAATAACACGGTGACGATTTAAAATCTCGAGTTCTTCTAAATTTTCAAAAGTTAACATTTACAAAGTGAGTGGTATTTGTTCGTTGTATGTTTGTTAATATGTGGGTTATATCAGATATACGAGGCCAGTGTGTCGAATGCGTTACTACCCTCAAAACTCCTTCTCAGCTTGTGGAGCGCAGCGCCACAACCCTTCGAGACACTGGCTTATGATTCGTCGATGTTCTCCTCGGTGGCGCTTATTTGTCCCACTTGTATATAAAATTAAAATTACTATCGTTGTTATATACATATATTCGTCATTTTTATCTTCTTATCGTCTTTACTTCAATATTTCAAATAATCCTTTTTAATCAATTTGTAAATTTTATTTCAAAAATAAATTTTTCACCTTTCTAATTAATTTTTAAACCTTATTCCAAAAGTAGATTTTTCGTAGGTTCATAGATTTTTCATAAATGTCTTTTTATTCAATCAAAATATTTGTAACAATATTTTACAATGCTATAAATTCTTTATAGTTTTTTACAGTTAGAAATGCTATAGATATATATAGATAATGTTGTCTATACAGTTTACAATACTATAAATTCTTTATAGTTTACTGTCAGAAATTTTCTCTGGCAAAATGTTCAAAAGCCATTCTTTGAAGGATTGTATCTCAGTTCTGGTTAATTCATGATCTGTGTGGTCCAATGGTACAAATTGAACATTCACTCCAAGTTCTTTTAGATTGTCACGAGAGTCCTCTCCCCATTTTATTGGAACCAAGTTGTCTGCAATACCATGAAATTGCAGAAGAGGTGGAGTATGTATTCCTAGGTTGTTTTTCAAGTGCTATACAACAAATAAGATAGCAGAAAGACATGTATCAAATAGGATAATATTAGAAAAAAGAGTAATATTATAAAAAAAAGAACAATATTATAAGAGTAAAATAATATTATAATGTTATAAGAGTAAAAAAGCTTACGTACCTCATACACAAATGAATTTTTATTAAGGAAGCTGGACATGACGCAACATCCAGCTAAAGATAATTTGTACCTGTATGATAAATATATTGATAAGGCTCCTCCCATTGAAAATCCAGCAAGAACGATTCTGTTATCTGGAATACCATCAGAAATTTCCTTATCAATAAGTTCTGTTATAGTTGTGCATATTGAGTTTATTGATTCCGTGTCTTCTTGTGCATCTATAGATATACTTTGACGATTAAACCATACATGACTATGCTGGAATAACAATCAATTTTTATTTTGCATGTAACTGTTGGAATTTGTTTCACGCTTTTTGAATTTGACCATCAATATATTACCATCCCATTGAGAGGTACATAGGGTTGCAAAGGTGCAGTAGGATAAATAATTTTTATGTGTGGGAACTTTAATTCCTGCCTGTTCAAAATATCAATCCATTCCTTGAAATTAGTTCCGGTAGCTCCTGAAATGACAATGACAAGAAATAACTTTCAATTCTTATTTTTATTATTTCCTGTAAAAAAAAAAATAAATAAAATTTCGTGAATATACCTGATCCATGAAAAAGAAATAAACTAGCAGTATGCGTTTTAGTGGCATTCACAATATTGATCTTGGGCAGTTTGGCCATGTTGCTTTCAGAGTTTTATTAACAGTCAATAATTCCAAATTGATCGATGATCTCCCATAATCGTTCATTACCTTGTTATCATTACACATTCTTTGACTGGTGAAAATCAATATGTCCAACATAATCGATCTCACAATTCCTAAACGAGCAACTGAAATATTCCTATTTCGCGAAAGTGGTTCTCGTCGTTTAAATTGCACGATCGATCGATTAAAAATATCCGCGTATCCAACAGACACCAAACAAAGACAAGGAAAGACAAATGTAAATTTTCATCGATTTTTGTTGCAATATAAAATATACATTCAGTTACATATTCAGAACATTCTCCAATTGTAAATTATTTCGATGTTACGCAAATACGTCACGTTGCGGCCACAAATGCGACTTATTTTCATAGAAATGTGCTCGTTCGATTATTTAAAAGAAAAAAAGCAAAAAAAAAAAAACAAATTTTCTGATTAACTTCAGGTAGTTGATCCGCCGTACATAACCTCGTTCCTGCGCACGCATATCTCGATTTTCATTCTCGACTTTCTTCGAGATCATTTGAAAACGTATGCCAGACGGCGATTCGGCTGGGTTAAGGCACGAGTGGTCGGGTCGTGTTGACAGGGTATTGGTGTCGCGTCCGATGGACACGTTGGTGATACTCCGCTGAGGCTTTTTCTCACACGCTATCCGGCCGACAGAGTTATGTTTAATGAGCCGTAACGATCCGACGGAACGATGCAGAGAAGTGGTGAGTAGTCAGAAATTTCCTTCGGGCGTGTGTGATATCTAGAGACTCGATGGCTCGGCGAGACAACCATTTTGAAGGCGCCAAATTTTTGCGTCAATACGCAGCGCCGTGACTGCCCGGTCAATACAGCAGCCGACCTAACCTACCAACTACTCGGTAAAACACATTCTCGATCGCTCTTATTTGATCACGTACATTGCACATTGCTACTTTTTTTCTACTTTGCAGTTGCGCCATGTATATCCATGACTCGGATTCCTTCGAATTCCGTCGTTTTGCGGAACGCGTGATTCACAAAGGATCCTTGCTCTCTCTCACATCGTGCCGTTCTCCTCGTGCTGTTCTCTTTTCGTGCACGAATTCTATCAGTGGAATTTTGCAAAAAAAAAACGTAGCGTGAACCGTGATATATATTCCAACGCGAGCGTGGTAATAAACGACCTCCTGGTTGCTATGAATATTGCATAAGAATATTATAATGCTTTTTATTATTTTTATTATTTTAATGTTTTTTTTCTCATGTGCGTGATGCGTGTATGCGGTTAATCTCACTGATAACTTGCTGAAACTAGGATGTATGTATTTCTTCTCCTTTCTTTTCGTCTTCTTTCATTTTCTGGTACATGAAACATTTTCTTTCCGCTATTCAAGATCGTCGTGAAGCTTGCCCTGCTGGCTGTTGGGTCTAGAGCACGTTACGTTTCATCTCACTTATCACCATCACTTACGCCGTACACAAGTGGTCTAAATAACACGGTGTAAATTGCCATCGCAAGTTAACCAGGAGGAATCAAAACAAATCTTTTCTGAGAACTCTCTTCCTGCACGTTGTTTATTTTGATCGTTGCATCTACTGTGCGCGCGTGCAGCGAAGATTCGTTTCTTTTAATTGTTTATGCTTTTCGATTTAATCGATCGGCATTGAAAAGATATATATATATATTAGCAGCGTCGTTTGCCTAACACGTTCGATGTCGGGCTAATTTTGAACAAACTATTTCGAAACGTTAAGAGAAAACCATTTTTGGCACTCGACCTACAAAATCTGAACGTCGTTTTTCTGCAACAATCACTTTCTTGTAATGTATTTATGATCGCTTGGTGAGAAAATCAATTTCAAATTCGGTACACGTAGCACTGAACGTGTTAAAAGTTAATACACAACGTGTATTAAATATTTGTGTTTCACCTCTCTTGTTGGTAGGGACAGTAACGCGGCGCCTTCAACCGGTTCGTTTTCTTCAGTCATGTAACATTAAACTATTATTCTACACGGCTCGGTGAAATCATATCTGTCGTGTATAATATACTGATCTTGGTAGTAATGCAATAACGGCGTCAGGCGTCATGCATCTTGTCTGACAGTCTTTTTTTTACTTTCTTTTCAAAAGAAAGATGTGCGTCTATTTACATACAGGGTGTCCGCATAGTTTAAGCGTCGGGCGATCAAACTGTTGCCTGTGTGTGTGTGTGTGTGTGTGTGTGTGTCACGGATAGAAATGAGAGAAAAGAATGTTATATAAACTTGCTTAGGGTTTTTACTTCACGATTTAAATTAATAAGAGCTTGTTTTTTTATTTCTTGTACGATGCAAGTGAATTTCACTGATGCTCATACAAACTTGACATTCATTTAAATTCCATATTTCTATCCTAACTTTTTTACCAAGCGTTTGCTATGGTCATGTAACATTTTTTTCTCTTATTTCTGTCCGTAGAATATACTGGCGAAGTTTCATCACTTAAATTTGAGGACACCCTGTATATACCTGTATATATATATACATAGAAAGAAATGCTTTTAACCCACTAAAGGTCAACGTAATTGCAATATTTTCCAATCAATTTCTGCTCATTCCAAGGGTTCGTTTGTATTTCAATTGTATGAAATTTAGATTCAATTTTATTTCATGAGAGTAATCATTCATTTCGTTCAATTCCATGTCTGAAATAACTTGGAGTTACTAATGGTAAGGAGCGATGCGGGGAAAAAAAAGAAAATAATGATCAGTTATTGCTGATTCGCGACGCATTCTGAACCTTGCTTCGTGGTACATTCATTTGTTTGACCTCGAAGCTACTAACTTGAATGAATAGCTATCTGTATTTAAACATGGCTCGAACTTTTTGCCTTTTTTGGCTGCATCACGCGTCGAAGCCAATCTTATTAAATATTGGACAACGTATCAAAAGTGTCACTGGAGTTTCACTTTTCATATATTCAGTAGACACTATCGAATTTTCCAGAGCACTGAAAAAGCAAAAATAATTCTATAAGTATACCGTGTAATATCTCTAACAATTCTGGTGTTTCAGTTAATTTGAAAATTTGGTATTTCGATTGATTTGTTACGTATTCCATCAATTACGTGTTAAGAAAAGTAAGTGTGTCAACTTAGACTTTCGTTCACGACGCGTTATTATAAAAAGTTTTGTCGTGAGTTTCAATAGTAGGTAGTCGTACGCTTGAATAGCTCAATAATTGAGCAGCTAAAAGTACTCGGTTCAGTTTGCGCAAAACGAGTTTTACTCGGCTCGAATTTCGAGTACTCGCACAGAATTCTCTGTCATGTATTATTCACGACGACGAAGGCGTTTTTTCGTTTTGAATTCCTCATATCGTCTCGAACGTTTCATCCACGTTACTCAGAAACGCACAAGAAAAGTCATTAAACCCGCCATTAAAGATCAAACTTTCTTTCAGTTCAGTTCTGAGACATTTATTGTTGATCTTTTGTTCATTTCTATAATTCCACGCAATTTACAAGTTGTGCACATGATTCTGTATTTCAACTTCTTGCTTTATTTGTTCATCGTTGTGTCTCGTTTTATTTGTAATCAATGTTCTGGTTATAAAAAGATTTAATTTCCAATATTTGAAAGAAACTTGCAAAATTTCTCATTGGATTTCCAATCTAATATGTTCATTGAAGTTTACAGTTGCAACAGTTATTTTCAACTACTATTATATGCAACTACTTATATAAAAAATTTCATTCAACTAAGATTCTTAGAATCTTATTTATTTTAGAGATTGCTGCTTTGCAATTATTTCTCTGTTAGACAATGTTCTGGTTATAAAGAGATTTAATTTCTAGAATTTGAAAGAAACTTGTAAAATTTCTCATTAGATTTCCAATCTAAGGGTAACAATATGTTCACAGTTTATTTTCAGATGCAAATCTATTTTCATAAAAAATTTCATTCAACAACAATTCTCAGAATCTTATTTACTTTACTAGAGATTACTGCTTTCCAATTATTCCTCTGTTAGACATTCTTCTTTGATAAATGAAAGGATTTGAGATTCATTACTTGTGATTCATCATGTTGGATAGGGACTAAAAGGGACTAAAAGATCATCATGTTCCTACATATTAAAGCCATTGGTCTATTAAAAGTGTCATTTTATGCAAATCCGGGGCTAGGAGGTTGCAGATAAAGGAAGACTTTATGATCCAAAAACTCTGCATTGAGAGGTTAAACGTATTAGGTTATTACTAGAGAGTGGAGGTTCATGCAAATTCATATTTTCATGAACTCTAATTAAAATGAACCTTAGTTTAAAAAAAAAATGAAATCTAATTAGAATTTTACGCTTTACAATTATTACACTTTAAGTATTTTATATACACATTACCTAATATGCATTCTGAGCATTGCGTTTCCAGATTTCTGGTAAATGCATAAAAGGTTGCAGATTATAAAGCAGGACTTTATGATCCAAAAAAATATTAAAAAACTCTGCATTGAGAGGTTAAACGTATTAGATTATTTACTAGAATGGAGGTTCATGCAAATTCATAGTTTTGTGAACTTTAATTAAAATGAACTTTAAAAAACTGGAATCTGATTAGAATCTTAATTTGTTTCACCCGTCAAATATTAGATATGAAGAACTAGTATTTACACTTTGAGTATTTTATATACCTTTGCTTGTTATGTGCATTCTGAGCATTCTTGTGTTTCCAGATTTTCGATAAATGCACCAAAGATTGCAAATTCATTCAACTATTGTAAAGGAGAACTTTGCGAGTCTTTCTGAGAAGATATTAACCGAGCACTGAGAAATTAAACACATTAGGTTATCACTAGAGAGTAGATGCTCATGCAAATTCATATTTTCATGAACATAGCTAAAAAAATGTCATTAGAATCCTTATTTGTTTTACCCAAATTTTTGTTTTATCCAAATATTGGATATAGAGAACTAATACACTCCAAGTATTTTATGTACCTTCGTTTGTTACATGCATTTTCAACGTTTCTTGCGTTTCCAGATTTCCCATAAATGCATGAAAATTCGTCTAGTTACCAGTAAAGGTGTTCCGGTCAGGAATAAAACGTTGGACAAACGATAATCGGCCCTTTAAAGCAAATCGGCGAAAATAAATCACGATGCACGGCGCGTATCGCGGTGGAAGTTGGACTGGGTGATTGACTGGGCGTGGAGGAGGGATCGGTGAGGGAAGGAGAGCCACGACAGCTTAGAACCAGTGCACCGGTGCGCCGGAACGTGGAATAGAAAGAAGGGAAGAAAGAAAAGAGGGAGGCAGAGAAGAGCTGCCGTGTTGGTTTAATATTATAATTGTCCCGCGTGCGGAGAACGGCCGGCCACTTCTTCGCCGGCACGTGAAACACGCGGAGGCTTCGCCAGCCGATCGTGAACCCCGGCGTGCCTCGTCGTCTTACGTTTTAGTTCACTTTCTGTATTCGACGTGCAGGGACACGGCGAAAGCCTTGCACGAGTTTACCGATCCTCGCCAACCGGTATACGCGACATCATCCCGCCTTCTTCCTTCATTTCTTCGAATTTCATCCTTCGTCACCTTCGCCAACGTGAATGCGTAATTAAACGGAAACAGTGTTGGCAGTGTGGTTTGAACCGGTCGCGGCGGAGATCGGCTCGATCTCGACGATACCTTCTGCGTTTTCATTTCGATCGAGCGAAGAAAGGAACGAACGGTGCAAACGATTGGAGTGATCCCCCATCCATGATCCAGTTGTCAGTGGGAGACTGTCTTCGTTTTATCAGACGATATACTGTCACTTTATCGATAGGGCCGTGGAATTTTTAAATTCGGCAATATGGAGTGGCAATGAAATCGGGGGCCGGCACCGCTCCTCCTCGTGATCCAATTTCAAGTTTCCTCCCGTTTTTTCACGTTACGAAACCTTGCTTCTGTCGCGGTTATCTCGCAGTATCGCAGATTCGTCGATACGACGAGAAGCATCCAATATCGAATGGGGGACCAATGCGGCCGACACTTGTTAGTTACATCCGGTTTCGATCGATTCACAGCAAAATCTTATTTGCTAATAATTTTTGCTTTTCTATTTTTTGAAGAGGGTCTGAAACTTGGTTCGTCGATCGTCGTTAATTCGATTTCATTCCTACAATTATATCTTCACACTCCACGGGATTATGTTAGCAACAATATTTCATCTACGAATCTACTTTCTCATTTCTTTCTTTCTTTTTTTTTTTTTTTTTTTTTTTTTTTTTTTTTTTTT